AGTTACTTGTAGCCCAAATGCACCAATCAGCTTCCCCAAGGCGACTGGACAAAGGTTATACGAGTCCCGGAATATAACCTCATTGCATTTGTTGTTGCGGGGAATTTTCAATTCATAAAGTTTATTACCACGGCGAATTATTGAGGGAGCAACACCATTCATGTATATTTCTTTGAACACCATAATCATATCATAACGTCCTCCATTGTGTGAAAATGCCATTGTTGTATATTGGGGGTTGAGTTCAAAAAGAATCCATTGTATGAAGAATTTAAGCGGGTTTTCTGTGACAATCTGTTTATCGACTTTTGTTCGATTGAATGGGCGGTGGAAAAATGTGATTGATCTATTATTTCCGCAGATTGCACAGCTGTTTCCATTTTGTCTCAGAGGCGAGCGCCATAATTGTTCATTTTCCATACATTTTGTGCAGGTTACTGTTGCGGCAATGAAGTTTACTTTGTGGACCCACCTTTCTTCATTATCATTGTTTGTCACTTCATTTTGTGTGGCCTCAAAATCGAAAGTTACCAGACGATAATCAGCTCCTTTTTTCAGTTCCAATGGGCGAATAAAGCATCCTCTATCCATGCTGTGAAATTGTCGACAAATCTGACACCACTTCTGGCCACAAACATGCTTCTTTTCAGCCTCTCTCTTGTAATTTTTCATTGACCATATAACACCACATTTTTCACAAATTTTTGTTTGCCGACAATTACTGCTTTTTTTGTGGTGGTTGAAGCAGTCTTCATTCAGATATTTTTTCCCACATTCATCACATTTTTTGTAAAAGTTTCCTGATGCCACACAAGGGTATTCACTTCCAACGCGTCCACAAAGATTGCAGCGTGATTTACATTTCATGTCGTGTTCCTTTGATTTTCTGAATTTCTTTTCACAGGTGAAGCAATATTTCATTCTTAATCCAAACATTCCTCCAACATTTCTTATTCCGTCAAAATGGTTGTTTGAGTGAAGAATTGAAACTTGTACATTGAAATTTTCAGCCCCATATTTAAATATAGGTTTCTCATTGTCCCTGCCAAAAACAAATACTCTGAATTTATAACCTGCATCTTTATATTGATTGTTCCAGAAATCGACGATGATTGGTACATATTCCACAGCGTCATATTCAGGGAGATCATGAGGGATTTTTGCTGCTTTTAGTAGGTCCAAAACATCTTTCACCTGTCGATGACTGTATTGCATATATGCATTAAATTTACGCCTATCCCCCAATTCTTTAGTAACATATTTTCTAGTAATTTCCAAGGCATAGAATAAGCATAAGTTGTTCGGATTAGCTATTTTAATCAATAATTCACTTTTTATTTGGCCATCATCTGTTCCGTTGTCTTGCGGCGCACGTCCTCTTATTGATTGATTTTTTGGAAGAGAGGAGATTCCAAGTGTTTGAATTTTCACTGTGAAAGGTTGGCCAAGAATTGATCCCTTTTCTATCTTCGATTGGGAAACAAGCTGGAAGCGATTAAGAATGTTGTCGACAGTATCATTTTCAATTCTTCTAATTGGTATCCAAATGTCGTTGTCTAATAATTGTGAAGATATTAAAGCTCCTAATCGGTCAGGTTCAATTGAATGGTTTCTTGAAGCTTCTACTGTCTTAGTCATACAGTCGTGTATTATATTTCTCAGTAGTTCCTCCGGATTCTCCGGCAATTTTTCAATAATAAACTTTCCAGATGTCCCCATCAATGCGAATTTTCTATTAAATGTTGTTTCGTAGTCGATTTGTCGATAATAATTTTTCGGGTTATTTACGCCCGCGCCGTTTTGCTCGTCATTGAATAAATGGGGAAGGAGATCGCGGATGAGGAATCTTGCGCGCTTGTTGGAGGAAGGCGCGTTTTGACCGTTATTAAATGCCATTTTAAGGTTTTTAATTTTTTAATTGTCGAGAGGTTTTTCGTTTTTTGAAGCAAATGGTTAAGAATGACAAAAAACCTCGCCTTTTATACTCCTCTTTTCAGACGGATGGGCGATTGCGAAATATTTTTTGTCAAGGTCATGTGATGCGGAACTGGTAAAATTTGTTCCATTTAAAACTCATTAATCATCCGTCTGTCAGATAAGATCTCGAGATAAAAAGAAAAATTTAAATTAGGTTCCATTTTTCCTTATTTCATAAAATTGAAGGTCATATGCTACCGAATATTTTTGGCGGCTCAAAATTTATCGCCTCAAAAACTCATTAATCATTAATCAATCAGAAAGATCTTGAGATAAAAAGAAAATATTTTTTAATAAACTTTTCCTTATTTCGTAACCTTAAAGGTCATTTTAAATTATCCAAACTCTGTCGGCTTCAAAATTTGATGCCTCAAAAACTCATTAATCATCAACCAATCAGATAAGATCTTGAGAAAAAACCCCTTACATTCTGACTTCCGCCCTTTTTTGCAAATCATTTTAATTTTTTGTAAAATTTTGTAATTTTATTTTTCCTTATTATTTTATTTAATTAATATTTTTTATTTTTATTATTTTTAATTCTACAGTACCCCGGACCCCTGCCCCCAGCAAATTTTCAGTTTCAGACTGAAATTCCTAACGCAAATATTTCAGCCCCAGACTGAAAATATTTCAGTCCCAGACTGAAATCCCGGACTCAAATATTTCAGCCCCAGAATTAAAATATTTCAGTCCCAGACTGAAATTCCCAGACTGAACTTCTCAGACTCAAAAATTTCAGTCCCAGACTCATTAATCATCGATCAATTAGATAAGATCTTGAGAATTTGAAATAATTGGTTACCTCCCCCTTACATTTTGACTTCCACCCTTTTTTGCAAATCATTTTAATTTTTTTGTAAAATTTTGTAAATTTTATCTCTCCCTATTTTTTATTAAATTTATTTAATTTATTTTTTATTTAATTTATTTTTTATTTAATTTATTTTTATTAATTTTACCGTATCCCGGACCCCAAAATATTTCAGTCCCAGACTGGAACCTTGTACCTGCATCTTGTACTTGTACAAGGTACAAGTACCTTGTACAAGTACAAGGTACAAGTACCTTGTACTTGTAATCAATCAAATTAATCTGTCACCCATCAATCAAAATTTGGCAATCCGGGAACCTGGAAGTACCCCACACCCTTTGGTTTCCCTTGATCACGCCGCCAAACTCGGACAAATGGGACTCGGACAAATGGGACTCGGACAAATGGGATTTACTTGTACCTGTCAATCAATCACTTGTACCTGTCAATCAATCAAAATGACAACTCGGACAAGTGGGATGATTAATTACCCCAAACCCCTTGGTTTCCCTTTGATCATGCCGACAAACTCGGACAAATGGGATGAGTAATTGCCCCACACCCTTTGGTTTCCCTTGATCTTGCCGACTGAAACCTCCTATACCTTTTGATTTTTGCCGACAGACCCCTCCCCCACCTAAATGTCCGAAAAATAGGTCGGACATTTGGGGGGGGGGGGGGGGGGTAACTACTCACTTGACACATGAACGTTGACGTCTAGCACTTGACACATGAACGTTGACGTCTAGCACTTGACAAATGAACGTTGACGCCTGGCACTTCAAGTGACGTTGACGTCTAGCACTTGACACATGAACGTTGACGTCTAGCTCTTGACACATGAACGTTGACGTCTAGCTTTGACACATGAACGTTGACGCCTGGCAATTGACAAATGAACGTTGACGCCTGGCACTTGACACATGAACGTTGACGTCTAGCACTTGACACATGAACGTTGACGTCTAGCACTTGACAAATGAACGTTGACGTCTAGCACTTGACACATGAACGTTGACGCCTGGCACTTGACAAATGAACGTTGACGCCTGGCACTTCAAGTGACGTTGACGTCTAGCACTTGACACATGAACGTTGACGTCTAGCTCTTGACACATGAACGTTGACGTCTAGCACTTGACACATGAACGTTGACGTCTAGCACTTGACACATGAACGTTGACGTCTAGCACTTGACAAATGAACGTTGACGCCTAGCACTTGACAAATGAACGTTGACGTCTAGCTCAAGAAGACACAGGACTCCAGCAAAAGTTGACGTAGAAGAGCACAGCAATGTTGAGAAGTTGAAGACTGACCAAAATAGCCTGCTTTTATACTATCTGCTTACCCTCACAACTTTTTTCAACAGGCAACGCTTTACTATAAAAGCCCCCTTTTCTTCACTCCCCCAAATCATTTTACTATAAAAACCCACTTGTCTATAAAAGGACAGACAGACAAACAGACACACCCTTCTCAATTATATAATTAGATAATTTTAACAATTAATTCCTTGCTGTATTCTCTTAAATATATCCCAAATTACAGAGCAGAATTGATTCTCATTATAATTGGATGAATGTTTATTTAGTATAGAAATCTTAAAAATAAATGTATTTTTCAATTTTAATCTGAAAAACTTGATATAAAGGATGGTAATCGTCATTATCTATTCGAACAAAAGAAATTCCAGAATCTTTTGGGAGCCATTCAAAATCTTTAATTAATTTTCCATATTTTTTAATAATTTCAAGAGATTTTGTAAAATTAAGAGTATTTTGTCGAAAACTTAAAATTGCACCTTTAAATAGAAAAATAGAGAGATTAATTTTAAAAATAAATTTCACCACATTGCTCGCAACATTGCCCTACAGGTTTTAAAGGAAGAGAACAATAACTATTAGAAGGTTCACAATTAACAAAAGCACATAAAGCAGAAAATTGCTTTAAAAATTTAATTAAAATTTTAAGAAATATTAATTGATAAATTAATTCTTAATGTCAAAAATTATTTTTAAATTTAGGTATTTAAAAGGAGTGCAGCATAAATAGAAAGTTTGAAAGTTGATTAGTATTAAATATAGAAAGAGTTTGCAAAAGTTTAGCCACCGGGCAGGATTCGAACCTGCGACCACCTGCTAGTTGTTGCTAGGCGCTTTCGCTCACTATATGCAGGAGCTCTACCTCTGAGCTACCGGGGCATCGACTAATGCTTTCTCTTTTTCCTTTTTAGATCGTTTAACCCCCGCCTAAGCGTTTTAAATGCTGCTGGGTGAATCATCCTTACATTTATTTAATTTCTAAAAATGCTCTAAATTTAAATAAATTTTAAATAATAAGTATTAAAAAAATTAAAATTTTTTTAATTAGAATTTTAAGAAATATTAATTGATAAATTAATTTTTAATGTCAAAAATTATTTTTAAATTTAGGTATTTAAAAGGAGTGTAGCATAAATAGAAAGTTTGAAAGTTGATTAGTATTAAATATTTTTGAGAATGAAAAGAATTAAATTTATTAATTATTTAATTAATTAGGATTATCTAAAAAATTAAATTTCCACATTTACCGGTTCAAAAAAATTTGAATTTGGACTTCCAAAAAATACTTCTCTTTCCTTCATCTTTTCATCCTTTTTACTTTTTTCTTCATTAATTTTTAATACAAGACCAAGAGGTAAATTAAATATTAATGATTTATTTAATTTTTTATATTCAATACTAACTCTATTGCCAAGTATTAATTGAAGTTGGCCTTCTATTGTATATGGAAGATGTCTAAGTTGGTCATTAGACAATAACTAAATATTTTTATAAAAATATTTAAATTATTTAAGTGTAAGATTTAAAAGATTTAGACATATTTATGATAAAGGATTCCAAAGCTTACTCTTCCGAATTCGTAATTAAATCATGAAGAAATTAAATAATGCCAGAAATAGAGGACTAATGTCTCAAATATTAATCCTAATGTACTTTTAAAAGGCATTCACTTTTAGTTAATTTTTTAAATAATTCAAGTATATATTTATTTTATTAAATAAAAATAATAAAAATTTTACGTTTCCAGAGAAATTAAGTGATCGAACTGTAGTCTGTACATTTAAGGAGATTTTGGAGGATTTTTCTTTTGGAAACAGAACGTCGTCCTTTAAAATATTTTAGTAAATATGTAAATTAAATTTCTTAAAAATATTTTAAAATATTAACTAATTATTATCGTTAAGTCGTCAAACAACAATTAATACAATTCAATAAACTCGGAGCATTTACTTACTCTTCAGCACTCCTCCCCTCACAAAACAAAAATCAAAATATGACCAATAATATAATAGTATTGAAAACATTCAGAGAATCAAAACAAGAACCAAAAAACATTCAAAAACTTTATAATAAAATCACCATAATCAGTGTCATCAACCTCTTAATCCGTTTAGTGTTTTTACTATTTAATTATTTTATTACATTCATTATATTTAATCTATCAATTTATTTTTATTTTGAATTTTAAAACATTCCTTTAAATTAATTTTTTAAAATAATTTAGTACTTAATCAGGTGATACAACAACACTTACTTAATTTTAATTTAACTAAAATAATTTACTAGAATATTCAAAAATTGCATCATTATTATTTTATTTATTTCATCAGATTATTCCTTTTCTCTATTATAAACTAAATTATTATAACCACTAATTCTTTTAGTCGTCAAACTACGAAGAATACAAAATAGAGAATGAGAATTTAGAAAAAAGATTAATGATTTTAATTTTTTAAATTTTATTTTAGATAAATAAAATTGTTGAAATATACCAATATGTACATATATGATACTTATTCCCTTCCCCTCTTGTCCAACTACTTGAGGATTAAAATCATATCAAAAGATTAAAAAGATTTTGGGAAGATATCAAGGGATTGTCTCTAATGTTTTCTCCTCAAAACTATTTTTCGTCATTAGCTGATGTGTGTATTTATTAACTTTAGCCTTCCATTATTCGTCTTTCATTTTTTAAAATCAGTTTCGAAACTGATTTTGAAAAATTTGTGAAACTGAAATAAAAATATGTAAATAATTTTAATAAAACAATCTAATTAAGCAATTATTTAAAGCACTCAGCAAACTTTTAATTTTGACGTACAATGTCAAAATAATTGACTCTTAATTTACATAAATATTAGATTATCAAACATAATCTCTCCCTTTTTAATTCTACGAAATTTTTTCATTATTAAAAATGTCTCGATTTTTCAAATATATTTAACCCTAAATAAAAAATTAATTTTTTTCCTAAAAATACAAAAACCTGTATTTTGTTAGTTTATGTAAATCTATGTATTAACACAAAGTACTAGATTAAACAGATATGTATATTTTTCCCATTTTTTGATAATAAAAAGTGTTTAAGTAAAAATACCATTTTTGGAGTAATAAACAAAAAATGAAAAGATTATTTGTGTTTGAGCACGATTGCATCAGTTTTGATACACGCTGCTGCGCTTTTTTCTTATTTTTTGTTATTAAATAAAATATTTTTGGTAAATAAAAAGTATTTGTGTATAGTGTTTTGGTTAAGCAAAACTTTGTTTTTAGTCTTTAATTCTGAGTTTATATCCCTTTGATTAAGACTTTTCTTTTATCTCCCATCTCTTTATCTCTCTCCTCCTTTATCTCCCATCCTCCAGGTTTCTGATCATTCTTATTATGCTGATCAAATACGAGACCCTCTCCCCATTGTTTAACAAATGTTTGTGTTGTTCTGTGATCCTCCTCCTTCCTTCCTTCCCCTCACAACCCCCTCCCTCAACCCCCCCCCCTTCCCCTCAATCTCCCCACATTCTCTCAACATCCAAAATTATTCCCATTCCCATAGTAACACAACGAAAACGTCAAAGAAGTCACTGACAGCGATCTATTGAGCGGCGATTCAATAAAATAAAATTATTTGTTTGTTTCTTTCTTTGGGTGGCTGTTTTTGTGTGTGTGAAGGTTGATCAAAGAAATGATTGAAAAGAAAGGTACAACGAGACACACATTTTCTTCTATTTTTCCTTTAATGGTATAATGATAAAAATTGCTGTAAAAGATGATTGATATGTTAATATTTAAAATTAAACACACGAGGATGATGAAAAAAAAAAGAAAATAAAAACTTTAGTATATTTTCTGGTTTTTTAAAGAAAAAATTCTTTTTTTGATTTGACTTTTATTAAATGGTTATTTTTGGTATTTATTTTTTTATTAAATAAATATTTGTTAAATATGGAGTAGATTAATTGGAAAATAATAAAAGTATGATTAATAATTTTTGAAAAGTAAAGAGAAAAGTTTCAGACAAGCTGTAAATTATACTTATTAATTTTTCTAGTGTATTTGGTAAATAGACAGATTAATTAAGTAGAGAGAAATTAAAATTTAAAAAATGATTTTTCAAAAAGAAATTCTTTCATCATTTTTATTTTAAAGATAAAACAAATAAAAACTCAAAAAAGCAGAAAAGCAAACCCTTCGGGAAAAGAGGGGAAAAAATCCTTCCCTTTATTTTCATAGTTGTTGTCTCTGACATTCAAACAAATGACTACGACTAACTTTTAATGTTAACGGAAATAAATATAAAACAAAAATTGCGTCAGGTTTATTCATTTCTTCCCACCCCTTTAATTTTTCCTTTAAATATGGCCGTGTTTTGGTAATTTGGCAACAGTTTAATTTATTTTATTTTAAAATTTCTCCTTCATTTTCCCTCAATATTCCCTCAATATTTTAATAAATTTAAATATTTTCCCCTCTTTTTCCCCCCTTTCTTTTTAAAAATATTTTTTAAACTTTTTAAATTTACCTTTATTGAGGGAACTTTTTCAGCATCTAACAAAAATATATTTGATGAAATACTTTCTTTTTCTTCTTCATTTTCATCATACTCTTCTTTCTCTATTACACTTTTTACTTTTTTTATTTGCCAGTTGGCCCCATCAAAAAAATTTGGTTCGTCTATTTTTGGACTGTTGAATGATTCTAAATTTAGAAATTAATAAATAAATTAGACAGACATTTCTTTTAAATAATTTAAAAACCTTCTAAACATTGTTTCTTTTCTTTATTTTTTTCTTCCTCAATTTTAGCTTTATTTCCAAAGAAAATAATTCCATTTTCAGGTAATACTAAATTATGGACCTAAATATATTTACATTTTCACTAAAAAATTATTTTTAAATTTTTATTTTTATATTTTCTACTCTTTTGAATGTCGGAGACTTTAAAATTTTTAAAATAAAATTCCCATTAGAATTACCAATAATTTTTAAATACAATTTTTTCCTTTTAAAAAAAGTAACGATTTTTCCTTTTTTTCTTTTATTCTTTTCAATATTTTCAAAAAAAACTTGCGGTTACGAGAATATAAACTTATATTTCGTTAAATTATTTATTCAAAAAATTAAATAATTATTCTTGATACTTAAAATTATTATTTCGAACAAACATATGCAGGTGGTTTTTTTGTCACAATTTCGATTAATAATTAGATTAATTAATGGACTAATTATTTACCATATTTACTCGATTAATTCCCCTCTCTCGAATAATTCCCCCTGCTACGGATGAGTTGAAACAATAATCCTCCTCCCACAAATACCTTACTACACGTTCAAATTTCAAAACTCGAATAATTCCCCACACTTGGATAATTCGCCATGCCACGGACGGGTTGAAAAAATAATTCCCCAGGGGATTAATCGAGTAAATATGGTATATTCGAAAACAATCTTTGTTTTAGTCCAAAATCCCCCGCAAGTTTTATCCCCAATTTTCCTTTAATTCTTTACTTGCCTTCATTTCCCCTTCAAGTATTGCCACGAAAGAATTATTTTTATTTTCTCTTTTCTCGCAATTCTCTTTATTAATCCAATATTTTGTTTTAGACAGTTGGTTAGAGGGAATCCATTCGAAAAGTAAGCTTTCGGCCAAAAATTGTTTTAAAAAAGGAAATAAATAAATAATTATTAGAAAATTAAATAAGAATAATTTTGGCATTTTTTGTGTGTATTTCTAATAATTAATTAAAATAAAGATTATTTAAAGCTTTAATTTTCCGAATTTAATTTAAAAAATTTTTTTCTAATTTCTATTTTTAGTTTCATTTTTTTTATTTTTTTCAAAAAAAAAATTTTTTTTATTAAATTTCCAATTTACACAAAAATAAAATTCCTGTATTTTATTTAAATTGCAAAAACAAATATTTATTTTCAGTTTATTTACTGATTGTAAAAAAACAAAAATACTTTTGTAGTAAAAATAGAAAAACAAAAATATTTGTACTTTTTTAACTAAAAATATTTTTTTCAAAAAAAAAATATTTTTTAGGGATTAAAAAAGCTAAAAATTATTTTTATAAAATAAAAATCAGAAAAAATATGAATTTATAGAAATTTATTGATAAAATATAATTATTATTTTCGAGAATAAATTAAAATGGACATTTATTCTCTCCCTCTCTCTCTCACTCAATTTTTGTTTATAATTCTCTTTAATTATTTAATTTAATACTTTTTTTTGTTTATTATTGGTAGGGCCACGCGTTTCGTTCAAATTACAACAAAAAAGAATAATATTTTTCTCAAATAAAACAGGAATATTTCAAGTAAATAAATTTTGAGAGTTAATTATGATTTTGTTTTTTTTTAATTTAAAAATTAAACAAATATTTGTTTACTATTTTTGTGATCAATTTACTGAGACCAGTTATTTGGATCCACTCAGTCTTTAATTCTTTACTTTCTCGATGTTTAAAAAACATTTCCTGATTTCCTGAGGCTTCTTATTTTCTGTCAGAATAATTTCCGGAAATAAACATTCTAGTATCGAGTTACTTACCTTCTTACCCATGGGAAAATATTTAATATACATACAATTTTAGTATCAATTTATTTTGAGCACATGGCGTTCAAAGTATACTATAAAGAAGGTATACAGAGGCCGATCATTCCATCACAAATTATTTTAACCTTCTTTTTATCATTCACCAAAACAATCCAAACTATCAATCAAAAATTATCTTTCTATTTATTTTACCTTCCCTTTTCTCTTTTTATTTTTTTCCCAAACGCACGTTGCCGGCTTTCGTCATCATTATAAATTTATTTGTCTTTGACATCTTTTTTTGTTAATTATTATTTTTATTTTCTCCGCCCATATTTACCCATAGCAGCGTTACTAAAATTATTATAAAATAGTACTAGTTTGCTCCCTGAATCTTCATTCTTCTAACCATTTTTAGAAAACAAAAATATTTTTGATGGTTCTACCTACCTTAATTTAACTTTATTATTATGAAATAATTAACTATAAAAGTTTCTATTTTGCTTATCAGTTTCCCTCAATTTCCACAATTTCCCCTTAATTATAATCATTTTTCAGATAATAGAGCATAATTAAAAGCTCTTTTCTAACTCAATTTATTCACTAAATCTTCTCATTAACTCAACTGATCTAAAAATGGTTAAACAACCAGAGACTCCACTCATTAATGGCAAATCCAATGGTTTTGCTACAAAGAATGGCATTTTGAATGGTAAAATTGCTAATGGAACAACAAATATTAGCAATGGACATTTACCTAATGATCAACAAATAAAAATTCGGTTGGCGAAGCCTGAGGACGCAAAAGTTTTGCGATCACTGATTCAAGAACTGGCAGACCATCAAGAAATGCCTGATGGACCTCGAATCTCTGCTGGACAGATTGCACAGGATTTTAGGTGGATTTTGGCATTTTTTGGAATTTTTTGAGTAATTTCGAAAAAAAATTTTCAGTTCTGGTTTTATGCATTCATTGGTAGCTTTTGGATCCAAAGGAGAAATGGCAGCTTATGCTCTTTATTATTTGCCTGGATCGAGTACTCAAGGACAAATATTGCATTTGGAGGATCTTTACATTCGACCACAATTTCGACGACGGGGGATTGGTCTACATTTGTTGAAGGAATTGGAAAAGGTGCTTAACTGTCTTTAACCAAAAATAATAATTATTTCTCCCGTCAGATTGCCAATGCTAAGCATCTTCCTTTCTTGGAATGGCAAGTATTACGTTCCAATCACGGGGCCATTCATTTTTACAAAACACTGCCAGGATTAATTGATGAGACTGATGGGAAGGAATTCAATAAATCTATCTTTTGGCGTTTATCTTCTCATGCATTCGGGCATATTTTGCGAAAGGCGGCGAAACAAGAGCAGAAGGAAAATCATGAAAAATTGGTAATAAATGAATATTTTTTGGAAAAAATTAGTTAAATTTTTCTCAGATAATGGAAGTTCATTTGGATGAATGCAGTGGCAGTGCTCAAATCTCTGAGAGAAACGCTTTTCACCTTGCTGATCAGTGGCATTCTTTGGTTAACTCGCAACGAAATGGGGAAATAATTAGAGAAGAGGAAGGAGAAGAGGAGAATAATGGAAGGAAGGCATATAAATTCCTCAATAGACGGGCTTTGGCAAAACAAATAAATTCTGGTTTACTTGGAGCTATTGTTGTAAGGAAAGAGCAAAAAGCAATAGAAGAAGAAAGGAAGAAAATTGTTGGGATGGCTTTCTTCCATAGAAGGAGTTATTCGACATGGCAAGGAAGGGTAAGGGATTCAGGAGAGAGAGAGAGACTTGAAATAATGCTTATTTCTTTTTTTAGTTCCCCGTTTTGGATAATATTTTTGTGGCGGATTCTGCTCGTCGAAAGGGTGTTGGAACTGCTATTATGGCAGAATTAGTTAAGGTAGTAATCAGAAATTGAATTTTAGACAATTTTTGAATAAAATATTTTTTAGATTGCTCACACAATGGGGGCAACTAAAATTCAATGGGATGCACATGAGCCAACTGCAATTAATTGCCAACACGTGCCTTTCTTCAAATCGGTTATTTTTTGAATATTATTGGCACAAACAAATCTTAAATTTTCCATTTTCACAAAAATGGACATTTGATCCAAAAAATTTATTTTTCTAATTTTTCAGTTAAATGCCGATAATTTAACTGACGACGAGGGCTGGTTGCTATACCGTTGGCATTATAACCAACAAAAACAATATACTAATGGAGAAATAACTGAAATTAAAGAAAATGGTGTTAGTAAAAAGAATAATATTTTGAATGGATGCTAGCTAATAAAAAGAGAAAAGAAAATTTTTAAAAAAATTTAGGGATAAAGCAAAATATAAAAATAATTTTATTTAAATTTTCATGCATTTCCTTTCATTTTTTCTTTCTGTTCATTGTTGGCAACGATTACTTTCCTTTTAACCATTTTTTCTTTTTTTATAATATTATCTTTTAAAAGTAATGGAATTTAATAAATATTTTAAATAATTGGAAAGCTTTATTTTTTAATTAAAAAATGACAAAATTAAATGAATGATTCTAATAAATAAAAAAATTGGCAACAAATGTGAATTAAGTAAAAAATAAGAAATAGGGTGGAATATACAAAAAGTAGGAAATAATAAAAAAGTTGAAGGAACAAGGAAATTAATAGTTTCCTACCCAAAATCGAAACACTTTTATGTATTTAATTTTTGTTTTATTATTAATTTTAAGTTCGAATCTAGGCGTGGGCTTATGCTGGGGGTCGATTTCAGGGGGGAGGGCTAAAATGGGGAAATAAAAATTTTGTGGTTATAGGGGGAAAAAATTCACTTTTTGATTATATTCTTCCCAAAATTTTTTCATTTTCCCCATTTCAGAGGGTTGGCTATAGCCCTCATCCTCTGGCTACGCCCTTGAATCTAGGTATTTTTAGATAACTTAATCATAAAGTAATTTTTATTTTTAATATCCCATCTCTTATATATTTTAAGGTCGAAATTTATTCCCAAAATTAATTGTTTTAACTTCAATAAATAAATTGTAATAAAGAGAAAAAAAAGAAAGAGTAAAAAGAGAGTATAGGTAGGTAATTTACTAATATTTATTTTTCTGTTTTACAAAATATCCACAGAATCATTGCGCAGTTAACTTGAGCTTTTCTGCCCTTTCGACGTCATTAACATTTAATTTATTTATTTGCGCCGACCAGAACTTGGATTTTGGAAGAGATATTCTAATTGGGGCGGTACAGTAAATAAATTAGCTGTTTCTTGTGGGGGTTTGTAATTTTTGGCAATTTTTGCAAACTAAAAAAATGAAAATAAATAAAATATTTATATTAATTTACCTGTTCTTTAATTAAATCTAAAGCCCCTCCAGTATTTGCCCAACGCTGTAACCTTTGTAAATTGTCAAGTCCAAAAGCGCGGTCAACATGGCTGAGCAATTTTGCTTGACTGTCTAGTTTTTGACTACCTAAAGCTACCTAAATAAAGAAATCTTGATAGAGTTTTCAGAGAAAAGATTAATTACCTCCATAATATCAATAGCAGCAGCTTCTAAAGGTGTACCCTGTTCAAAGTGTGTAATCACTTGATTAAAGCCTTCATCTGCCTTGTTAATAATATTTAGAAGAGCAGAAGGTTTTACCTAAAATTCAAAATAATCTTTTCAGAGTGTTTATAATTCTCTCTTACAGTTGTCGCCTCATTTTCCGGCACAGCTTCTTGTGGAGGAGCTAAAATCCCCATACCAGCAACCGGTGGAATGCCAATCGCGTTAGGTATTGGACGAAATGGTGGAAGCATTGGAATACCGCCAGAAACAGCCCCGCTAGTTCCAATAGGTGGAGGTGTTTGAGGAAGAGCAGAGCCGGGAAGGGAAGCAGAAGGCCCATAACCATCACCATCCGGTCCTTTCTTATTTGGAATTAATGCAGAATCGCCAGTATAAAAGTCTTCAGGTTTGAGAGGAGGTTCAACTTGGGCATCGGGAGGAGGAGGTTCCCAACCACCACGACTTTTGCCTAAAAATTAATTTAAATAAAAATCTATTTTTTGTCACTAAATTACCATTACTTCCCCCAATAACTCCATTATTTCCAAATCCCCCACCTCCACGACCTGCAGAACTACTGCCAAAACCTCCAGCTCCGAAAAATTCTTTTGGCGGAGCTACAGGGCGAAGACCAGAATTTTCAGGAATAACAAAAGCTTCTTCTGGGGGAGGAGGTGGTGGTGCAGGAGTTCTAAAAAATATATTTTAATAAAATATTTTATTTTAACTCGAAAATTCTACTCTAAATTAATTATGTAATTAATTAAATAGTTAGAGAATATTTTTAAGACTTTAAGACATGAAAAAAATATTTTTTAGTTTAAAAAACATAAAGTTATTCTAAAATAAACAAACTGCGTTGTTGTTGGTAATTCTGTTGTTGTAGTAGGTATTAATGTAGTTGATACTTCAGTTGTTGTTTGTAATTCAGTTATTGTTGTTGTTGTCTGTTAAAATATTTTTAAATTAAAAAATAAAAACGATAATAATTACTTGCGTGCTAGTTGTTGTAGTTGGTGCTTCTGTACTAGATAATAATGTTGTTTCTAATTCAGTCACAAAACCATTTAATCCAAAAGATTCTTTTAAACCGGGCGGAAATGTTCCAACCTGCAAAAATTTTAAAAGAAGATTTTTCTAAATTTTCTACCTCAGGTCCAGAACCAAAACTCAATCCATTATCTTCTGCACCATTAGACAAACCAATAAAACCGGCACCAGCTTCAGAAAACCCTGGAGGTAGAGGACCAGGCCCATCTCCCACAAGTCCACTATTTCCTATAATTCCACTATCTTCTCCATGACTATTTCCTCCATTTTCCTCAATTTTTTGAGATGGTTGTGTGGTTGTTTCTTGGGCTAAATTTGTAATTAAAAATCAAAATTAATTTTCAAAAACTTGTAGCAGTAATAGTTGGTGGTCCCCCCTCTAATTTCATTGGTGGCTGTTCTCCCATTGAACCAACTTCCATTGCTGGTGCAGGTAAAGGTTGTGATGTAGTCGTTGTTGTTGTTGTATCAGTTGTTGTTGTTGACGTTTCTCTTATTGTTTGTGTTGCAACTTGGGAAGGAGGAGGTTCTCCAGGTGCTGGTGGTACTGGAATTGGTTGTTCCGAAGGTTCTTCCCCAAACAAACTGAGGGATGGTAAAGCAATAGGTAAATGACTTCCTCTTTTTTGTTCAGTTCCAAAAGCTGAATTTTCTGGTAATTGAATACTTGGACGTTGTTGGCCGTTAAGATTTTCAATATTTTGGGGTCTTCTTATTTTAAGTCTAGGGCGGAATACAACTTTATTTGGAACTAAACGGAAACGGCGTTCAAGCTAAAAAAGAGGGGAATTTTATTCCAAAGACTTCTAACGATAATTTACTTGAAGGGATTGTCTTCCCTTCTCATTATTGTCATCATTACCCTCAATTTGTAATAATTCTTTGCCAAGTTGATCTTTAATTAATTCATTTTGTTGTTGTTGACGATTTCTTATACCAAATTGCCGATTTCTCCATTCAACAGCTATTAAATAATTGTTTAAAATTTGTTATATTTAGTCGGAATTTGATTTTATGAACACTCAATTCTAAGTATAATTATTTTTATTTGTGTTCTCCAGTGGGTGGAGAGAATGCCTAGACCTTCAATTCCATTTTTGTCAGTTAATTTAAAGGAGCTACCTAAACCTTCAATTCTAATACTCCTCATTTTTACGAATAATTTTGTAAGCTCATTTAATGTCTTATATTTACATAACAAGCCAAATAATTATTGTGTAATTTTCAATAAACAATCATTTAAGTTTTGATTTATTCCGTAAAATTATAATATATAATCCTTACCTAAATTATTATTTTCATCCCCAAATAATTGTCTATTCAATAATTGTTGTTTTTGTTTATTATTACGTATTGTTTGAATAACACTATTATTATTATTATTTTTTTGTTCCTCTAATAATCGTTGTCTATGTCTGTGTCTAAGCATTCTAAGTGATGGTTGCCAAGGTTTTGGTTGTTGATTATTTGCTTCATTTTGTTGTTGTAATCGTTGTTGTTTTTGTTGTGATAATTGAGCTTCAAGAAGTGCACGTCTTGCCGAGGTTAAATCAAATTGGTCATCATTATTTTTATTTTCCTGTTCATCAATCCCCGCACTGCTACTACTTTGAGAAGGAACTATTGAAAGTAAAATAAAAAAATTTTTTAAATCACAGCTTGGGGAAATGGAAACTAATTTTAAACAATCCTTTGGGAATATATTAATAAAGATGATCTCGAATATTGGGATAAGATCGGTATATCAAAAAATCGAAATTAATGGAGCGGTCAGAATTTTTAATTATTGAAGAATGGTAAAAATGTTTTTTCCTAACAGAGGTGACGTTTTTTCCTTACGATTTCCGATTTCCGAAAAAATATTTTTTGATTTCCGATTTCCGGCTCTTCCGATTTCCGACACCTCTGACTGTTCCGACCCACCTCTGTTATCTAAGTATAGAGATAATTATAGACCTGAGATATACATAGTAGCTAAATTATTAGTTATGAGAACGTAAATACAAAATAACAATAAAGAAGATAAAGTAAAAGTCTGTTCTTAAACAAACCAATTCGATTATGTCCACCAGTCAATTTACGAGCCCTTGGAACATTTAAACCATTTCTCCTCTGAGGGCGAATAGACGAATTTGGTATTTTAATTGTTGTTTTTGGGGTTGACTGAGTTGTTGTTGTTGTTGTAGGTGTAGTAATTGTTTGTTTTTCTGTTGTTGGTGTTGTTATTAATGTTGTTGTGGTAGTTGTTGTTGTAGTAGTAGAACTTTCTGTAGTTGATTTTGTTCTGTTTAAACTGTCCCTTAGTATTTTACGTTGTTGTTGAATCTAAAATGATAATTTAAAAAATAATAAAAAAAATTTTAACAGTTAAGGTTTCTGATAATTCTGATTTTTTCTGATAATCAAAAATATAGAAAACAAAACTAACAAGGTTTTAAAGTCTTAAATTTCATTAATAATTTTAAATTAAGAATAATGATAGAGAAGTATCTACCGACATAAAGTTGTGGTTAACAAAACGTTTGTTTACGATATTTTTGAGTTTTAAAAATCAAAAATTTACCAATCTAAATTTTCTTATAGGCAATAGAGAGGAAGATCCAGCTACAAAAGAATTATTAGAAAATGAGGGTATTTCAGTTCTTTCTTTTTTTGTTGGTTTTATTGTTGTTATTGGTGGTCTTTTAGTTGTTATTGTTTGCTCTTCACTTTCTTCCTCCTCCGATGAAGAGGAGGATGAAGATGAATGTTCAACACCTGCCTCCTAAAAATTTAAAGTTTAATAAAATATGCAGTCGGTATTAAATGGATTTAATAATATGTGGATATCTACAATGGGTTGTCAAATAAACTGAACTGGCATATAATTAAAGGTTTAGTGGCATGAGTAGACTATGTAACTTTATTATCTCTAACTTATTCTTTAGCCTATTACTGGCTAAAGAATTTATCTCAAAGTTTTTCATAAAAATAGTAGAGAATATTGAATAAATTATTTCTTTAAAAAACCTGTAAAAGTTTAAGTGCTAATTCCTCTGCTTCAGCAGAACTCATTGCCATAATTTCTTTCCCTTCTATAGCGGATGCAATTTTTGGAGGAATCTTGAAAATTATGCTTTGATTTAAAATGTTAATATTTTTTAGTTTGAGATACCTAATATAATTTAAGTAATTAAATAAATCCTTAGCATATTTCATTAATAACCCCTTTTAATTTTACTCAAAACCCCCCTTCCCTACCCGAGCTTTCTGAAGCATTGTTGTCATTTTTCTCCCATTTTTGACATTTGTTGGTCTATTATTGGCTAAAGAATTTTTATTTTGTTGTATTGGTTGAGAAGCAATATGCCTTAAATGTCTATGTTCTAAACTATTTAAAAATTCTGGTGTTTGTTCTTCTGTTTGTGAAAATGTTTGTAAACGACGAATTCCTTGTAAATGATTTTTGCCTGGAGAAATGGCTATCGGAATTTTTGGCAATAAATTTGTTTGGCGAGAAGGAAGACGATTATTATTTGTTTGTTGTTGTTGGGACCTAGATTGGGGCCAATTGGAATGTAAAATGGCAGCTCCTTGTTGTTGTGGATATTGCTAATAGATTTAATAATTTTTAATTAAATTAGAAAAGACGTTTAGATTAGATAAATGAATCTCGATAAATCCATTTACCGTAAATGTTCTAAGAGAACCACACTATGTATCCATTTGAAGCACACTCTCTAATATAAGCACAAACTACGAGAGGATCAAAAAATAGAAGCAAATGTGGTTCTATTAGAACATATACATTTATCTTGGTAGTTCAGGGTTTGAAGATGTAAGGAACAAGAGAGATATTGCTGTTTGGAATTTAAACTTTTATCAAACGGGGCATTACCACTATGCGGTATAACCTATAGCGATAACTGCCAGAATCTTTAAACTTATATGTACCTCACTCTTTCTAAGATTAGGGACTAGAAAAATTTTAAATTGTAACTCGAATATGTAAATAAAATAAAATTTTTATATTTACCGCTGAAACAATTGACAAATTACTTAAAAACCCAATAATTAAATTAGGAAAAATAAATAATTTAATAATTAAATCCAAAATTGTTGTTGTTTGTAATCTTTGGTTTAATTCTTTCATTATTTTTCTTCTTCTTTTAAAATTTGTGAAAAATAGGTAATTATGGCATTTCTGCATTGAAGAGAATTAAATTGGAATTTTTTAAATCTTTTTGACTGTGGCATAAAAAAGATTTTAGTTTTAGTTTAAGAATATTTTTAAATTAATTGTCATCTTAAAAAATATTAAAAGAAATATTTATAATTAAAATTTATATGTAAAAGCTTTAATTGAAATCCGTCTAATAACTAGAAACCCGTATTTAATATACACCTGAATTAGACCTTTTAATAGACCGGAATTGAATGTTTTGATTAGAGCATTTACCGAAACCCATACTTGAAGATTTTTTGTACCCGCGGAAAGCTGATTAACAATAATTTTAAAAATTGAAAAAAATTATATTAGTTCGAAAAATTTTTGTTTTGTAAAATTTAGAGTCTTGTGATCATTTAATCAACCCCATTATTTTTCTTAACTCTTAAATTAGTTTAAAAATTAAAAAATAATAATAATAAAGGAAAAAATATTCTATAATCCTCAACACAAAATTTTTTTCATCAAAAATATTTTTTCTCGCCTAATCTAATTGAATCTGTTAAGGCTAAAGAAATATTTTTAAAAATAATTCCTGAATGAGTTGAAGTAAATGTTTTTAATTTTTATTATATTTAATGTGTTGCTTAATGTAATAATAAGTAATGGACTAAAAACGGGTTTAGTATATATCTTTTTATTTGTGGCGCAAGATTTGCGTTAATTTTTCTTCTCGAATATTCATCGCCATAATCATTAGAATAAAAAGAAGATTTTAAAGAATAAATTATGTGTATTTAATCAAATATTGATTATTATCGATTAAGCTGGATTTTTGGAACAAAATATTTTAAAAATCATAGGTTATAAATCATTCAAAAATTAAATGTTTGAAGATGATATTAAGAAGTTCCGTTAACAATACAAAATTATTCTCGATTCATTTACATACGGATAAAGATTTAAAATTTTATCAAAGATCGAGAGTTCAGTGGCCAACCAAATTTTAAAAAGATAGGTATACTAAATTGAGGTCATTTAGTGTACATATATAGAGATGACCGGGATCGATCGGGGGAATTATCCCGGTTTTTTAATCCCGGTCCCTATTTTGCTAATCCAGATACCGCAGTCGGGATCTGGATCATTATTCCTAAATCCCGATTCCGGCCAACTCTAACTGTATATTATATGTGAGGTTTCGACAGTATAAATTCTTAAAAGGAGGAAATAATAAACCACCGTTCTATTTTGCTTATCTTTGTATTTTTAACTTATCATCAGGCTATCAAGCTTGGTATTCATAATTTCAGAGTTCAATAATATATTTCATAAAAAAAAGATTTCTTTAATTAAAGAATTAAATATTAAAGAGATTTTCACTTATTTTGAGAATTTATAAAGCAGGCAATAATTCTGTTGATGCGCAGTTAGTTACAGACGGATGCGCACCATGGGCGTTTAAAAAATAAATAAAATAGCAAAATCCGGTCATGGCTTACTTGGCTGCCCCAGATGCAGTTTTTGATGTGGTTTACTTTTTTAGTTTTTCCCATTGCTTTTTCTTATGATTTTCCCCTCAATTGGACTTTCTATTTAAAACCGGCTTTTTTTGAATTTGTTCCTTTCTTAAAATTAGTGTAAGGAATAAAATAATATTAAAATGTATTTTTATATTATTTTTAAAAAATGTTTTATTATCTACATAGATTCAGTATATAGTACAACACAATTTAAGATACCCAAGTTTATTTTTGAATTTATGTTTCCATTGAGGGGAGTCTGTCTATGCGATATCTATAATTTAGATTAGAGACCGGACTAGTAGGGTCGTACGGTTTTAAAATTTCGATAATCGAGATTTTTGTTTGAGATCTGGCCTCGATCCCGGTTATACCGATAAATTTTCCATCAATGAAAATCTATCAGAAAATGAATCCTGCTTTCATATAAAAATTTAAAAGTCCCTTAGTCTTAAAAAATTTCCTTTCTAAATAATATAAACTTTTATTTATTCTTTATTCATCTGGTAAAGAGGTCAAGGTTTGTAAATTCACGAAAAAAATTGGAGAGAATTGGGAAAAAGAAAAATCATTTGCATGAGGATGAGAAGAAGAAAGTGAATTTTAGTGAAAATTTCCGGTTTGAATTGACTCGGATAAAAAAAATATTTTTAAGATAATTTTAAATTAAATAAATTTATTTATTTAAATAAATTAAGAACGTTAATTTTTAATTTTAACAAAAAAAATTATTTTAAAAAATTATTAGATTAATGTACTATTTATAAAGAAGATTAATTTTAATGAAAAATAAAAGACCTAAATAATATCTTTATCGTTAAAATGATTGGATGTTCTATTTTCTAATTAATGTTTCCTTTTTTCTCAACAATTCTTAAAATATCTTCTCCCCCTAATTTTCTTTATTTTAAATTAAAAAAAGAAAAGTCAATGGTGGTTGATCTAAATACCAGAAAAATTGAAAATAGATGATTTAGCTAAGAAAAAAGAAAAGGAAGGTGTAAAGAGAAAATAAAAGATGGCATCTTTTATTTTTATTTTCGAAATTTTTTTTTCTTTGTTTTTCACCCAAATAAAAATATAAAAATGAATTTAGTTTAAACGTTTGTTTATAGTCAATTTGTGCGTAAATCTTTATTTATTTAAAAATTTTGTTTCTCGTAATTTAGCGCAATCATATGCTTCCTTTCCGCTAATTTAAATCGAGACAAATAAAAAATAAATAAAGTTTTTGTGGAAACAAATAAAAATTAATTTAAATAAATGATTAATTAAATAATTGATAAGAGATTACAGCATTAATAAATTTAGGGTAATCGGGATTTGGGGAAAAATTAGGATAAAAAAACTAGTTAATAATGTCCAATATAGGACAGCGCGGAGCAAATATTTGTAGGGAACCTAGTAATAATCATAGCAATACTAATTCAAATTAGTAAGTATTCCTTTGCATTTCTAAAATTCATAAAAAGTTCCATTGTTCTACTAATTAATTTCTAATTATAATAAATTGTAAAAACCGTCCACTATCTTTAGGGCATTTAAATTGGAAAGATTTGTGTAAATTAATTCCATATTCTTGTTAACAAGAAATAAATGAATTTAAAGATCTTTAAAGATTATTAAAAACAAGAATAGGTATCTAAAATAAACAGCCTAAAAATTGCCAAAATAATTTTTTGGTCCATTTTTAATTTTTATAAGCAAACAATAAAGTCTTTAGCAATGCCGACTCATTGCGCGTCACATTCTTAAATCAATGACTGACCAGAGACTATTAGAAAAAGGCGGGTTTGGCAGCAAATGACCAGAAAGCAAATAAAGATGGACGAGAACAATCACGGCTGGAAGCCGGAGGCTGTTTTCTTTCTCTCTTCGTCCACTTGTAGATGATGTGATCAACAAAGCAATATATTTGGATGTCTGAGGAATAAATAAATTATTAGAGAGATATAGAGAAATTTGTATAGAATGAATAATGTGTTATTATGCGCATCTTTTTTACTTGATACAAAAAGTAAATAGGACAAAAAAGTAAATAAAACTTGGAATATTTAGAATATATTTACTTTAATTAAGAATTGAAAAAAATACATAATTAAATCAGAATTTATCGAAAGAAATCAGAATTTTAGATAAAATTATTCAAAATCATAATTTTAATTATTAAGAATTTAAAAATAAGAAAAGTTGTAATAAAACTAGGTAACTTAATTAAATTTTTATCATAATAAAGATTAATTAGATCGCTCCCTTTCTAAGTGAGTGTTTTTAACAATGGTATCTGTCTTTAATGATTATTAGCTACTAGTTATGAAAATAAACCCTTTATAACAAGTAAATTTTGATTGATTATATTTTTAACAATCAATTCATAGTTTATATTTTATCAAGATTTCTTTAGGATTTGGTAAGAAATGCGAGATATTTAGGTATCTATCAGGGATCGCGCCGACCCGATTCACGATTCCCGAAAATCGGAAATTTGATTTTCTGTCGGCGCGATCCCTGGTATCTATAAATTTATTTAAATATTCTGGATTATTTAAGTAATTATGAAATTAAATTTAAAAATAATTTTAAAATAAAAATTATTAAATAAAGAAAAGTAAATGAATATTAAAGTGCAATCTTCAATACCTTAAAAAATGTGCGCATCTTCTTTATTCGGGGGAAAAATCAAGAAATATATCTTTAACTTGAAAAAAGCCTTACTTTAATTTCCAGCTGACTTTTACAATTAATGACTGAATTTTTTGCTTTCAGTCGATTTAAAGTGCGCATATAGCTTTTTAAACTGTGCAGAAGCAATTCTCTTCTATTAATTCCACACCGCTAATTCCCTTTCTCCCTTACACATTGTGAAGAAAATATTCTCCTCTTCTCCTCCCCTTTCAATCACTCACCTTTTATATATATAAAAGATCTCTTGAGAATTTGACGGCAAATTAGTGTATATTTGGTTAGTTTTTTAGCTTTTAAACAACACGTCCAGCTGTGCGATTGAGAAAAAAAGTATATGAGGATTAAAAAAAGTAACCAAAAATGTGCTCAATAAAATTAATGACCATTTTTTGGAAAAAATAATAAAAGGTGAAGATAAAAATATAGGTAAAGCTTATTTGTTCTAAATTATTGTTAATTATTAAAATATTAATTATGTATTCGAGAACTGCATTTGGAATATTGTAAATTAAGGTAAAATTCTACAAGATGAGTTTTGTGTGCATTCATAAAAAATCAAAAACTTGATTCTTGAGAACTATCTATCAACAAACGAGGAAAATAATATTTGACAGAAAAATAATTTTTATTTTAATTAGCAGAAACTAATAAATATACATACTAGGTCAACCTCAATTTTTCAGTTTACTCATAGTTAATTTTTTAAATAGTCTATATCTCTATATCTTAAATATCTATATCCCTAATCCTCTCTATCTTAAATAGATGATTCTTAATTAAAATTCAATTAAAATTAATTATTAATCTATTTTAATTGTCTAATATAGGACTATTTTAATTAATTAGGGGGTGGAGTCCTAATTTACTACCCTAGTCTTAGACTTAGAAAAGCCCAGAAAGCTTTTCAAACATTAACCAAAATAATAAAAGAAACAAAAATTGTTGGAAAGAATTTATTCTGCGGTAAATGTTATTTTGTAATTTTTCTTTGGAATTTTTATCTTTGCGTTTTTGTATTAATTTTTAAAAAATTTTTTCCGCGTTTGAATATTTTTTTAAATTTTTTTTCTTTCCCAAAATGTTCGCTTACCCCCATAAAGGGGTTAAAATGGAGAAAAAATGAATGAAAAATTATAACAAAATAGATAATTGCCAGAAGAGCGAATTTTTTTTTGAAATTTTTTAAATAAAATAAAACCTTAAAATAAACAAAATTCGCCCCAAAAAATTTTTGAAAAGTAAACGAAAAAATTCATATCGACCAATTATTTAAGAGAACAACAAAACGCAAGCCATAGCTCTTCAAAATAATCCCTCTTTTCTTATCTAATTTGAGCCATCTTCATCAAATCAGTATGGTGAGAAAAATGCTGCACGTCTTCTTAAAATTAAATTTAGAAAAAATAAATTAACATAAAAAGTTCTTCAGTTTTTGTTAGAAAATTTCAAAAATAAAATTGAAAAAATCTTGAACAAAAGAAGGGACCATAACGAGTCTTACAGTTTGATCTAGTCTGCGATAAATACCCAGCTCTTCGTTTCAGAATCAATGGTCCTACCAGAACTCTGGGTGAGTAGAGCCTTATATTCCCAATGATTTTATGGCAATAAGTTAGCCTATTGAGAATAGAATTAATGGTACACCCACCCAACAGCGGCATGAGTTCTAAAAAGCAGAGATGGGTACTTATCGATAGATGAGGTACGAGCTCGGTACTTATCGATGACTTTGTGGAATGAACTTGTCACACTGTGGAAGAAAAAAAGGGGGTACGAAGTTCAATTTTACCATTTTAATGGTTAAATTCCACCCATACAATGCCTAGTCCCAACAGTTTAGTGGAGGAACATGTTAATTAATGCTATATTTTTTAAGCATCGCCTTATTGCCAAAAGTTGGTCTCATTTAAATAAAAATATAACCTCGATGCTCGTGGTCGTCCTCGCATTCCAGGATAGATATATTTGATAACAACACGTGCACGCCCGCTAGTAGAACCTCTCCCTCGTGGCGGTCGATTAGTTGTACTAATGCCCGGCTTGTTTGTACGTTTTGGCACAACCTTGATTTGACGACCCAAAAAGAGAGAATCACCGAGAGACAGCGAATTCTGCATTCCATCAATATCGGCAAATTGCACATAGGCAAAACTACAAAAAGTAAAATTAGATAAATTAATTAAAGGCCAAAGAAAAACCCTTTTGGATGTCCAGTAAATTTGTCTGTCAAAATTGTAACACGCTCAATTATACCACAGCCGCGAAAATGTTCTTCAAGTTGGTCAGGTGTAGCAGCATAATCGACCTTAAATAGCAATAGAGTTTCTCATTAAATAGGGAAATTAAACACAAAAACAAGAGAAATCTAGTGACTAAAAAAGAAAAACAAATTTTAACATTAGCCTCAACTCAAAAAAATTTTTTTGGATGGATCCTTACAAGGGAACATTTCGAACTGTGAGTAAAAAGTTCGAAATAAAAGTTATACCATCGTGTAGAGCATCGTCGAAAACCTTTATGGTTTCCGGCTTTTTCGGCTCCGACCCCCATTTCGAAAAGTTATAGGTCTTCAAAGTTTTCGATTTTTGGAGCGGTTGAGTCGCCCTCACTTTTCTTATTATTTGTTTTACCAAAGAGAAAAATGAGACTCCTTTTCTCCATTTTTCCTTTCTTCTTCTTTTCCCATGTCGGTTAAAGAAAGAGAAAAAGAGGAGAGGAAAGAAAAGGAAAAGAGGCATGTCTGCCATCTCCTCTTTCCTTTTTAATTGACATTAGCTGCAAGGCAGAGATGCCTCTTTTCCTTTTCTTTCCTCTCCTCTTTTTCTCTTTCTTTAACCGACATGGGAAAAGAAGAAGAAAGGAAAAATGGAGAAAAGGAGTCTCATTTTTCTCTTTGGTAAAACAAATAATAAGAAAAGTGAGGGCGACTCAACCGCTCCAAAAATCGAAAACTTTGAAGACCTATAACTTTTCGAAATGGGGGTCGGAGCCGAAAAAGCCGGAAACCATAAAGGTTTTCGACGATGCTCTACACGATGGTATAACTTTTATTTCGAACTTTTTACTCACAGTTCGAAATGTTCCCTTGTTAGCAGCAAGGTAAAAATTATATAAGGGCGAAGGTTAAAACAAAATTCAAAAACTTCAAAAAATATAAATCTTAAAATGACAAAAAATAATCAGTAAAGCTTCATTAAACTCACATTTCCCACATAAATAGACCGTCCATCGATTAACATTTTATCCTCAACTGACAGACTCGGCGCAACACCTGGACTGCCATTGTTCGATCCTTGGAACTGCTTTTCAACTTCACTTTGCATTGCACGAATCTTTTCTGCTTCTTGCTCAATCTGCCGCAGTTTTTCATTGATGTCTTCAAAATCCTAAATTATTTAAATAAAATTATAGTTAACCTTAATTCTTAAAAGATAGCAATTTTATAAAGCAAAAAAGAATCTCTTTTTTCCCAAAATATATGTAATATATCGCTCAAAATATTCCTTTACCATATTTTTTAGAACCCCTATATCATTCAAATATTAAAAAATATACATTGTCTTCTGACATAGCCACAGAAATTGAACCGGTAGCTCCTGCGCCATTTAATGTTGGATCATGATCATCACTTCCAAAAGAAAGTTCATCCTCGTTGTTTGCCATAATTAGTATAAATAAATTTAAATGCTTTCTGAAAAATACAAAAAAGTATAAGTGTTTAAAAAATATTGAAAAGTAGTTTTTATGAATTCTGGGACAGAATACCCTTAAAAAGCATCCAAAATAAAAATTTTAATTAAAAAAACAAGCTGAATTATCACTTTAAAGCTGCATCGATTTACGAAAACTACATTTTATTGCTAACGTTCTAGTGGCTGTTTGGCGTTTCGTCAAAAATTTCCGTCACACCCTTTGTCCAAGGACCTTGCGTCAATAAATGTTTCGTCATTCACATTAATCGTTTAAAAATAGGACAACTTACCGTCAGATTTTTCACTGAAAGAACCTTTTTGACGAAAAGTCCCCCGTTACGGATAAATGAGAAATTTTTAAGGAGAAAAAATAATAATAAACATTTGTAATTTTATAATCTCAAAATAGTAAACAATCTGTAAATTTTATCTCATATATTGACAGTTTTTATTTGAAAGAAAAATTTGAGCGAGTTAAAAAAACAATACACATTTTTTTAAACTACATCTTCATTTTCTTGCAATCATTTGCCGGTTCCACTTCAGAAACAATAAATTTACGATAAGCATCACGAATCGTTTGAAATGCTTTAACATCTACATATGGTAATTTTGTAAGAGGGTCCATGTAGCGAGCCGATTTCCCTGTCACAGAACATACACGATATTCGCGTTTCTTAGGTCTGTAAAAATATTTTTCCAAATATTACAGATATTTCGAAAGTTTAAATAAACAAACTTTGGGAATAATTTTTCATTTGGAAGTAATTCAGGAACCAAAATTAAATGCTTGCCATCCGCAGTAAACATTTCTTTTATTCGAGGGCCATGCAAAATTTGGCGCGGGATTGCTTTTTGTTGCCGTTTTTTCCGTTCCAATTCAAATTGTTCGAAACGTTTAAGTGATTCAATATTCTGTACAGCCTGAACATAAAATTTAGAAAAAAATCTAAAAAATCAAAACTGTTTTCTTTGCTTCTTCCAATCTCTGCCGTTGCGTTTTAGGGTCACAACTATTTTCGGGAACGGACATTTTGTTGATGCGAGCAATTGCCCAATTTTTATCACGTTCTAACATTTGCTTTTGCCTTAATCTCTAAAATAATAGAAATTCTTTTCATTTTTGTATTATTATTTTGCTTATGGCATCTTTTGAAATTTTTAAAAATTCAATATGCCGAGCACATGTCAACAGCCAATTTATTTTTAACAATAATCCCGAAATTAAAATGTATAATTAATTAACCTTTTGTCTTCTTTCGGCACGCTCAGCCTCATCAATTAGGCCGTCCTCTTTCCCTTCCTCATCGTTTTCCTCTTCTTCAGGTTGATCAAAGTCAGAATCTACTTCATCATCTGAAGAATGAGGTGGCGACTCAAAATCATCATCTTGCTCCACCTGGAATTATATAAAAAATTTTTAAAAATATTTTTATAAAAATGGCAGACAACTGAGACACAAATGCCAAAACTTAGATTCTTCAATATGGCCATTTATAGGGAAAGAGATCCATTTACTTGTCAAACTTGTTTATTTAAAATATAAGAACGAAAAAGAGTAAAGGTATAGTTAACCGGTCCGAGTTGACTGACAAATACTCATTCACTAATGGATCTTGTGGCCATAACGGAAATAAAAATTTCAAATAAAAACCTCTTTAAATCCTCCATAGATGGCTGAATAAAATTCGTCATTATCCCCTTCTTTGTTTAACTGTTGTTGAATAAGTTGTTGCATATTCCGACCAGCATTTTCCCGTCGAGATCTGTTTGGAACCATCTGTTTATTTAAATGTATAATGCCCCTATATCTAATAAAATATTAAAAAGAAATTACTTTTTTTTTTATCAAAAACAATTATTTTCAGAATATTTATTGTAAAACTGAAATACATATGTATAATAACAAAGTCAAAAAGGAATAAAAATTAAAATAAAATTATGACAATGAGATGTACATTTAAATGCATAATTGACGAAATTCTGGTTTTAAAAATTGTGAAAAATGAGATATATTTGATTAAAAATTCTCGCAGATTAAACAAAAAAATTTTTGTAGAATGTCAAAAAAATATAAAATTTTCAAGAATAAATTAAAGTTATCCTTACATATATAGGTAATTATGTTTGATAAAATAAAGCGAGATTCCTTCTCTTTCGTTGATAAAATAAACATTCCAACCAAATTATCTATCTCCTCTTCCTCCCATCCCGTCTTGTTTTGATAGGAAAGTGTCGCCCATCCTTGTCTTAGCAAACTCAATACGAATTCCTGTCCCAACACCGTTATTTGCAGAAAGTCCAAAGCCTTGTAAGGCATGCATAACATGAACTGCTTGTCCAACTTCGAAGAACTCAACAAAAGCTACAGGAGAGCCTCTCTTAAAATAAAAATATTACAAAAAATAAAATTGTCAATTAACCTTTGTGTGCATTCTAATACGTGAGAAACCCGGAAACATTCCAAAAACGCTCTTCAATTCTTCTTCAACAATAGATGGAGAAGTCGTCGCTGCTGGACCCAAATTTCCAACAAAAAGTGTAGAACACGGCGAATTTTGTTGTCCAGCCATTAAAATCTGTTGTTGGCCATTAGAAGGCCAATGAGTTGCTAAAGAACGGTGTTGATGTTGTTGTTGAGCAGCAAGTGCAGCAACAGCAGCTAATTGGGGGTTTGTCGCAGCGAGAGATGCTGCATTGGTAGTATTGCCTAAGAGAGTTGAGCCGCCCTGTTAAAATTAAAAACGTAATCGAATAGAATGTAATTTTTTGGATGATGATAGAACGGAAAATTCTCATGGATCAGTAATTAAATTTTCTAATATTCCCCTTACCTCTCGAAAAATTTTTAATTTTTTTAATCCCTATCATAAGTTAAAGAAACTGGAAGAAAAAAAGTTAGAATAGAGCAAATACTGGACAGCTTCTAAATTCGCAAAACCGTATTTAAGAATATTTCAACCCTATAATCTCAAAACGGTAAAAAATTTTTCTATTCAATTACCGCTGCAAGTGCAGCCAATTGCTGTTGAATATCAGAGCCACTAGCCGTAATTGCCAAATGACGTTGATGATCAAGTGCTGAGGCTGCAGCCGCCAAAAGTTGTTGTTGATGTTGTGCTGCTGCTGCCAAAACAGTTCCATTTGCCCCTCCTGTATTTACAACAGAATTATCGTGATGTTGGTTAAGTAGAACGGCCGTTAATTGCTAAAAAGTGAATGATTTAAATTAAAAAAATCAACGAAAAACCTGTTGTTGAATAGCGGCTAATTGAGCAACAGTTATATTATGTGCTAAAACTGAAGAAGGTGGCGGAAGAATTGCTGCAGTTAATCCCGATGTGACCGGTGAAATGTGATTTGCCGGAGGTGATTGTTTAACAGGTTTTGTAACCTAAAATTAAAATTAGTCGAGTATTTTGCCTAAATTGTATTGTTTATGAAAAACAACAACTAAATTTTTCAACTAGAAGAAAAAATATTGAAGCCATAAAAATTTTAAAATTAAAAACCTTTGTATTGGATCTTGCCAACTCCAACCGGAGAGTCTGAGAAAGTTCAGGATCAAACTTAACACCTTGCAACTTTTGCCGAACATCATCTGCATCTTGTCGACTAGCAAATGTCACAAAACCAACTGGGGTAGATGATTTCGAAGTCCCATTTCTGTTTGACAAAGTCATTTTAAGCTGTGAAGATTCATAACCAGGATAGGCACGAAAAAGAAGGTAAAGTTCTCGAGATTTGACATCAGCAGGCAAACCAGAGACGAAAAGAGTTCTGACCTGAAAAATATTTTTAGAAACAAAATCTTCAATATAAAAACCTGTGATTGAGCTTCCGAACTGCCATTTCCATACATTGCCCCATTATTTGTTGAAATAACCGAATCCAATGATTCCATCGAAATTGCATTAACCAAATGTTGATTATTATTATTTCGTTTATTTGCGGATAAAATTGCATTTTCATTTGATGAATAAGAAGAAGCTGTATTATTTACCATTTTCATTAGTTATAAAATTTGTGCGAAACAGTGTTGTTTGTGTGGAGTGTGGAATGTGGCAGAAGAAAAGTGATTGGTGCAAACAAACTTCGCAAAATATTTAGATTTGTGCGTGATTTTTAAATGGAATGACTGTGCTGGATGTTTAAAAAATTTAAAAAAAAAATGAAAAAAAATTTCAACTGGACAATTAAAAACACTGAATAGGTTCATTTTAGAGATCGAGCTTTTTGAAAAGCCTGGGCTGTTCTTGGACTCTTGGTTTGATTTATTGACCTGGGCCGGATCCTGGGCCTTCAGGAAACCCGCAGGCCTTGGCCCGACCCAGCTCGATCATTTGTCGACTTGTTAGAATTTCCCGACTCACGATCCCGTTTTCCCGATTCCAAAGCTCCTTTTACTCTAACACGTCTCTAGAACATAATAAATATGGAGAAAGGTCGTGCTAACCAGAGAATTTTATAATATCTCATTCAACTCAAATCCTATAGAAAAATAATAAATATAGCAGCAATTTTTCCTAAAAACGATCGCTGCTTATTCACAACTTTAATGACCTATACTAGATGGAAAGCAATTCATATGTACATAAATAAATATATGCAGGTCATGTTTTTTCTGTATACTGCATAGTCTCTTCACGAAAAGTGTTTTATCGAGCAATTTTTGTATGAGGGTGGACAGGTGAATTATTGAGGGATTAAGTTATTATTTTGGAAATTGGAGTGAATTTTTTAGAAAATATTTTAAAATAATTTTTTCTTCAAAAATTAATTTTTGACGTTTTTTGAAATTAAACAGGGACACGCCCAAGTAGGCGCACGGCCATAACGGCGCAAAGTCATAACTAGCTGGAAAATTTCTGGCCTTTATCAATTTTGGTTCCAATCTCTTTAGCTCGATAAGAGGCATCTTTATTACTAGATTTTGTAAGATATAAAAATCTTGAAGCAAGTTGTGGCTTAGCCTACTTGGGCTGTACCTATTAAACATAAGTAAATTTAATAAAAATTATTAAGATAATAATAATAAACAAAGATATACTTAGTTAATACAAACAAAGACAGAAAATTTATATGAAAGGGGGATGTTAAAAAAATTGAAAAGTACTAGGCTCTATATAAAAATTGAAGTTAGTCCTTATTGTAAAAACAAAAAAAAACAAAATGTGTACATAACTAGGATAATTTACTGCGCAAACAAGAACGGTTGCTAAGCACTAACTAACAAAAAAAAGTACGAGTGCGCAAGCTGGTTAACTAAAACGAGATCAATAAATATTGAAAAAGAAATTGGATATCTAGTATTTTTTGGGGGATTTTAAATAAATTAAATTTAAAAATTTATTTTAAATTTTATTAAAAATGGGTAAAAAGAGTAAAAATGGTGATAAATTTATATACTCATTTAATATGTATAGGTAATACTTAATATTTAGTGTACTAATAAATGTAAATATCCGAAAATGAATAAATCCAACTAAAGATAAAAACATACATTCCACAAAATTATAGCCCCCCTATATTTTTCTCGGTTTCAATACTGTAGCCGTTGTTTTAATTTTCACTTTTTTGTAATAATATGTAAATAGTGGTCTATAATTAGGTTCCTAAAGGAACTAAAGATAAAAACATAGTACATATGATATATACCGTATATACTCTATTAATTACCCTGGGTAATTATTATTTCGACCTCTTTCGGGAGAGGGCAATTGATAGAGGCAGGTTAATTAATAGAGGTTATTTTAGTTATGTTATTTAGTTTAGAATTTTGATTATGAAAAAAGAAGTAGAATATTTACACATTCAATGTCAAAATAATCACTTTTCAAAAATTTTCATACCCAGGGATCAATACTTTTTTCCGGTAGTGTATAAATATTCTTAAAGGGATATTACTGTTTCACGCTTTTGCTGGAGGGTTAATTAATAGAGGCGGGGTAATTTTTTGAGGGAGGGTAATTAATAGATTATATACGGTATTTGACTTACAGACTTTGAAAAGAGAAAATAAAAATTAATTTCAAGTGAAATCTTAGCAAATACTATTAGGACACCCGATTTAAAAAATTAATTAAGACACACTATTTTTAAAAATTAATTAATATAAAGGACATACCCAAATAAAAATAAAATACGTACAATTTGTCTAGTAGAATGGAAGCTTTTTAAAAAACTAAAAAAGCAGAACATTTTAGAGGCTGTCTCTAATTTTTTCTTTTCTTTTCTCTTTTCAATTTTTGTTCTCTAAAATATTTAAAGTAAAATATAGCTAGCTAGCTACTATTAAATATTCTTTTTTACTCAATAAAAATTCCTTCTTCTATCCACCCGCGCTTTTCCTTCTCATTTCTTCCAGCTTTTCCACTTTTTTAAATTTTTTTCAATGTAGTTTTGTGTGTTTGGCCACATTTTTGGCCAAACTTTCTTTTTTGATTTTTATACATTTTATATTTATTTTCAACAATTTCCCCCTTTTTATAAATAAAAAAGAATAAATTAATTTGTCAAAAAAAACTTTTTTTTATTTATTTTGGTTGGATTTTCGTTTAATAAAAATACATATGTAAAAAAATAAATAAAATTAATAGCAATTTAAAATAAATTTTAAATTTGAAAAATAAATTTTTGAATTAAATAAATCAAATAATATTTACATCTACCGTAAATGCTGAAATAATTGCCCTCTCTAATAATTACCCCCCTAGTTTTACTCGAACTTTAAAAATATTTAAAGAATTACTATCAAATTTAATTATTGGAAGATTTTAAGACTTAATATCAAAAAATAAATCTATTTCGCCTCAACTGGATTGAGATATACCCTAAATTGAGATAAATATACCCCCTCTCGAATAATTACCCCCCCCCCAATGAGAGATTGAAACAATAATTATCCAGGATAATTATTTCAGCATTCACGGTAGGTATCTTTTTTTTATTTATTTTATAATTAATTTAATTTATTTCGTTTTATCTTTCTTTAATTTATAATATTTACACCTTATACAAATCAAAATTTAAAAAATTATTTTCTTTATTATTTTAACAAATTAGTGAATTATTTAATTAAAATAAATATATGTATGTGTTTGTGTTAGATTAATTAATGTAACAAAATTAACTCTTTAACTGATTTAATTTTTAATTAAACTAGCGAAGGGGCTCGCCCTTCGGGCGAGCTCCTTCGCTAGTCAAATCATTACAAAAACCTTGAATCAAAACAACTCATACTGGTACTCACATATCTAATGAACTTTCCCTTTCCGATTGATGGTCAAACCTAACTAAAATTACCCCTAAAATAAAAAAATAACAAACAAATTAAAAACATTTATTCACAATAAAATAAATCATACAATATAAATATCAAAATTGGGTGAGTTTGTGAGTAGGTGAATAGGATAATATAATTAAAATGGGACAACACAAAAAAATAAACAAATCAAATCTTGCGTATAAAAAGGCTATTTTCTAGCATACTAAGAAACTCACTCTTTCATTTAGGATCTATAACTTTCGATCAATTACTACTATCTATTTTACTAAATCTAATCATTTTCATCTAAAATCTCTTTAAAAACAACATTTTTCACTTTTCTTTCGTTATTATTTAATAATAACCTAATACTCAAAGCTTCCCAAGATCTAACCCTTGAAAGGGCCACATACAATTGCCCATGACTAAACACATCTTTACTTAAATCTATTCCTAGTTTTTCTAAAGTCTGTCCTTGTGCTTTATTCACAGTCATAGCAAAAGCTAACACCAATGGAAATTGGTGCCTATGCAAATCAAATGGATACTCGCCATCGCAACACAGAGTGATGCGTGGGATATAAACCAATTGCCCAACTCTATCTCCAGTCAAAAGTCTACAAACTATTAAGTTTGTTCTCAATTCTTGCACTAACATTCTAGTTCCGTTACAAAGTCCTTGTTCTATGTTCAAATTTCTAATCAACATTACTATAGCATTTTTCTTTAACTTTAACTCATGCAATGGGAAACCATTGGGACTTAATGAGTATAAAAACTCATCTAAATACTCATCTAACACTTGCTTATCTTCATTCTCAGCTTTGTCTATACTCGTATACAAAATCTCATCTTCTGGGAGCATATTCAAAACTCTATTATTCAATTCTTTTACATCTACATTCTTTGGCGCAACAATAGCCATGTTGGCCATCTCATTCCAATTCTTATCCTCTATAACATAACCAAAAATCTCATCCACTAAATCACTCTTACTAATACATTCTATTGGCAACACTACTTCATCTTGCTCATTGTTCCGAATGCCAGAACCTATATCTAATAACTCTTTAGCAAAATGTTTTTCCGAATCTAAAGCTCTCATATTCTTTGACAATCTATACTTCTTTGCACTTTTCCAAAATCTACTTCTTTTCACAGTCAGATCGCATATCTCTGCTCTTGTGGCATGCTTTTGGATAGGCAAAGTCTGGCGAAAATCACCTGCCATCAGCATAATTTTGCCACCAAAGTCTATATTACTCTTCATAATCTCTTTCAATTTCAAATCTATAGTTGATAATGCTCTTTTGTGAATCATTGGAGCCTCATCACAAATAAACATATCTATATTCTCCAGTTCTGTCCAAGCTTTTGAGCTCGGACCTATTTTCGAATTGCTCATATCTAAATTCAAACCAAATCTATTATGCATAGTTCTACCTCCTGGTAAAAGCGTTGCCGCAATCCCAGTAAAGGCCATAGTACTAACTTTCTTTTTCATTCCTCTAATTAAATGAACTATTGTACTAATAACAAATGTCTTTCCTGATCCTCCAGGTCCACTGAGAAAATAGAATGCTACTTTCCCATCGGGATTGGAGATCCTATTCATAATCTCATCTACTATTGCTCTTTGCTCGTCGTTTAATGACTCATAGCTTTTACGACCTATGTCTAATTCTTCAACTATATCAAATTTCTCTTCAATATCTAAGTCAATATCATCAATCTTTTCCATTGTAGGAAAATCGGCAAGCGATTTTCCCGCTTCAACAATTCTTTTCGCTATGTCTAAATAAGCTTTTCTATATGCTAGTTCAATACTATGTTTCTTTGCAAAATCTTCTGCCAAATCATTCTTAAACAAACTCCAAAGTTCATCAGGCTTTGCTGGATTACAATGTACTAAAATCAAAGCAAACAACTCTCTCATTTTCCAAGGCATTTCAAAACTATTCGCTTCTTCTAATGCTTTTTTCCATTCTTCATCATCTCGAATCAAACCTCTTGCTAAACATGCTTCCGCAAAGGTAGCATATCTGGTCTCTATATTTAAATCTAAACTTTTTACTGTTCTAATATCATCATAACTTGTAGCTCCTTTAACATTCAACAACAACAGTCGTAAATGATAGCGTTCAGTTTCAGCTGGCGAAACCTTAACCATCCGACCGATTGTACTAAAATGCTTTTTTCTATTATTCCATTTTCCTTTACTAAACACAAACTTTTCCGGAATCTCATGGTAAAAAAGATTCCGTGCTAAATTATTATTCTTATTCAAATCAAAATATGCTAATAACTCAGAATCATTTTCTATTTTCTCTCTTATCTCATCCTCTGTCATATTCTCATCAAAATAGCAAACGTGCTCACCATCCAAATGGACTGGTAAGGTTGTAATGCTATGACTTCTATCATATGTTGGGTATTCTAATATTCTCCACACGGCCTCCTGAGGACAGACATACCGTGCGTCTATATACTCTTTAATCTCATCATGATCTGTTTTCTCTTCATAATTCATAGTAGCTCTATCTGGTAGCTTGTGCACATACTTATGCAAATACTTAACTGAGGTCACACTATTAACTTTTTCCACATTAATGTGGCATCTAAACTTCTTTAACAAATAGGGGTTATGTGGAACAACCCATCTATTATCTAATTCAAATCTCTTTCCTGAAACAAATACTTCAACTATTTTTTTATCTCTAGGTCTTGCATACAATGCTTGGCCATTTTCTAATACTACTGTCTCTTCTTGAAAAGGTTTTGGATATCCTTTTGAACAAATTCTGATCTTTTTTCCATTTACTTCCTTCTCTTCCATGCATGGGCAATTTGGATTCAAATCACCACATGGTCCATGTATCATATGCTTTTTAACTAAATCAAACAAATCTTTGTCAATATCTTTATCTGGTATTCTAGCACTAATTCCACGCTTTTCAACATCTTCAGAGCTAGTAACTTTATCAATATCAAACATGGTCAAAAGCAGATGGATGTGCGGTAGTCCCCGACCTTGGTTCTCTACCGGATACATCCAACAAAGTTCTCTACCAAAAATCTTAGTCTTTGTTATCTCAGTCATTAATGCTTTTACTTTTAGATAGAATACTCTATCAACTAAATCTGGTCTATCTGCTGAAACTTGTCCTTGATACAAATTCTCTACAATCTCCTCCCATTGTGGATTGCAAGTCATAGTCACGAACAAATCTGGTTTCCCAAACCGTCGCACTAATGCCATTGCATCCTGGAAGTGCTTTTCTATATATCTTGGCGAATTGGTAACCGATGGAGGCAAAATTACCTTCCGCCCCAACGGTTTCCCAGATTCTCTCGCTCTCTTTTCTAAAAAACTATCAACATTCTTGTAAGCATCAGCAAAAATAGTTTTCTGATTACTTCTAATCCATCTCATTCTATCTCCTTCAATCTTTACCCATTCATCAACACAATACTGTTGAAAAAGTTTTCCTCCATATAGAATGGGGTTAAACTCTTTCCTAATACCAATACTATAACTTATATACTGAAGTCTTGTTACTCTTCTAGTACTATTATCTTGTCTAATATCTGGATGCCAACCCAAGGTACCACGTGGAAAAAACAACGGGTACGTCATCGGGCTGACCATTTCATTTGTACTATTCAAAATTCTTAACTCTTTTCCTCGCTCTCTAACAACAATCTTAGCATCAGGCACTTCGCCATCAGCTCCTGGAACATAAACTGCTGCTACTTCATTTGCTTTTGGTACATTGTACCCTAATCTTTTATCTAATTTACTTTTTGTATCAAATAACAAACTTATCTCCACCGGAGACCTATTTTCTCTTATAGCTCTTTCTAATTCTTCATCCTCTTCATCTTTCATCATTCTATAAGCTTGTGCAAAAGGACTAATTTCTTTTATCAATTCATATACATCAACTAACAACCGTTGGTCTATGACCGGGTTGGCTCTATGCAATGTACTAATAGCTTGCACTGTATCTATAATGAAGACTTGCCCATAAGCAGGCTCATCTTCTGGATCTGGATTCAAAGCTAAATTCATTCTATGATAAATCTGACCACATATGCGGAAGCAGTATGGACCTCTATTACTTGGATATCTATATCTTAGCGGATTCATGGAAGCCATGGATACGCTACTATTCAAATTTCTAATACAATCAAAAAAGTTCTTATGTCTTGAATCTAGTTTCAGAAACAAATTCTTCAACAAATCTGGAAACTCATCTTCTGGTAGCATTGTTAAATGAACCTTGCCATAATGGCAACATTCCTTAAACGTACTACCCTTATTACTAATCTTCTCTTCTGGAAAATGCAGAGCACCACAATAGGTACACTCAACATCCATCCGTCCGAGTCTATGACTAACAACATTACTACAATCGCCAGCTGCATATAACTGTACGACGCTTTGTCTATTTCTAATCTTATTCATTTTAAAATATTCAAGCCTATTTTCTCTTTCTACTTCTGTTTCATTGTTAATTCTATGTCGTTTATCATTTAATCTATTCTCTCGTTCTACTTCTGATTCGCTTGCAAATCTCTTTCTATTTGTCTCTCTCTGCTTTGCAAGTCTATTTTCACGTTCAATTTCTGATTCATTTGCTATTCTTTTTCTATTTCTTTCTCTTTGCTTCTCAAGTCTAATTCGTTTTTGCTCAGCTGTTTCACTATCTAATTGCTTTTTCTTCCTCTCTTTAGCAGATAACTTTAATCTATCACTAAAACTAATACTATGTTCTATATCTAAATCTAAATCTAATACAATGCTACAGCCAGGTACCTGGAGATTGCTGCTGTTGTCGGACGTTGTTTTGTTGTTGTTGATGTAGAGTGATGTTAAGCGACTAAAATCAAGTACTTTTATAGTAAACAAATTCACCTGCAGAGTAACGAAAACTCGCATTAACCCTATCAGCTATCAATAACTTGATGATTTTAAGGACCCTCTTCATAAGCTATAGCTTATTCGAAAGATCATCAAAAACTGTATCTAAAACCTTGGGGCAATTTTGTTTATAAAAACTTTCTCAAAGATAAAATAGATGGAATTGTAAATGTTAATTTATATTTGAAAATCTTCAAAGCCGTGTAACTCTGTGAATTTAGGGACCCTCCTCATAATCTATAGCTTATTCGAAAGAGCATCAAAAACTGTATCTAAAACCTTGGGGCAATTTTGTTAAAAACTTTCTCGAAGATTAGATGGAATTGTAAATTGTAATTTATATTTGAAAACCTTCAAAGCCGTGTAACTCTGTGAATTTAGGGACCCTCCTCATAATCTATAGCTTGTTCGAAAGAGCATCAAAAACTGTATCTAAAACCTTGGGGCAATTTTGTTTATAAAAACTTTCTCAAAGATAAAATAGATGGAATTGTAAATGTTAATTTATATTTGAAAATCTTCAAAGCCGTGTAACTCTGTGAATTTAGGGACCCTCCTCATAATCTATAGCTTATTCGAAAGAGCATCAAAAACTGTATCTAAAACCTTGGGGCAATTTTGTTAAAAACTTTCTCGAAGATTAGATGGAATTGTAAATTGTAATTTATATTTGAAAACCTTCAAAGCCGTGTAACTCTGTGAATTTAGGGACCCTCCTCATAAGCTATAGCTTATTCGAAAGAGCATCAAAAACTGTATCTAAAACCTTGGGGCAATTTTGTTTATAAAAACTTTCTCAAAGATAAAATAGATGGAATTGTAAATGTTAATTTATATTTGAAAATCTTCAAAGCCGTGTAACTCTGTGAATTTAGGGACCCTCCTCATAATCTATAGCTTATTCGAAAGAGCATCAAAAACTGTATCTAAAACCTTGGGGCAATTTTGTTAAAAACTTTCTCGAAGATTAGATGGAATTGTAAATTGTAAATTATATTTGAAAACCTTCAAAGCCGTGTAACTCTGTGAATTTAGGGACCCTCCTCATAATCTATAGCTTATTCGAAAGAGCATCAAAAACTGTATCTAAAACCTTGGGGCAATTTTGTTAAAAACTTTCTCGAAGATTAGATGGAATTGTAAATTGTATTTTATATTTGAAAACCTTCAAAGCCGTGTAACTCTGTGAATTTAGGGACCCTCCTCATAAGCTATAGCTTATTCGAAAGAGCATCAAAAACTGTATCTAAAACCTTGGGGCAATTTTGTTTATAAAAACTTTCTCAAAGATAAAATAGATGGAATTGTAAATGTTAATTTATATTTGAAAATCTTCAAAGCCGTGTAACTCTGTGAATTTAGGGACCCTCCTCATAATCTATAGCTTATTCGAAAGAGCATCAAAAACTGTATCTAAAACCTCGAGGCAATTCTGTCTACGTCAACCTTCTCAAAAGAAAATAGATATTTTCATTTCCTCGCTCCCCAAATCATTTTACTATAAAAGCCCCCATTTTCTCACTCCCCAAATCATTTTACTATAAAAGCCCCCTTTTCCTCACTCCCCAAATCATTTTACTATAAAAGCCCCCTTTTCCTCACTCCCCAAATCATTTTACTATAAAAGCCCCCTTTTCCTCACTCCCCAAATCATTTTACTATAAAAGCCCCCTTTTCCTCACTCCCCAAATCAGTTTACTATAAAAGCCGTGTGACAAACAATTTCCTTCCATTCACAAATTATATATAGGATTACTAATTTATAACACCTCTTTTTAACCTTATTTAATCCCTTCTTCACTCATTCAAACTTTAAATTGTTTTTCTAACTTTAATAATTTTAATTATAATCTTACTCTCATAAGCTTTTTAATTAATCCAAATTATAAAACACATAAAATTAAAAAAAACTTTTTAATTATTCAATTATATATTTTAATTAATTATTAACAAATATTCGTCATATAATATTATTTTTTGCCTTTCTTTTATTTTAATGAACATTCTCTTATTTTACCACATTTTTCTATTTTTATCTATGACGGCATTAATAGAAAATGACGTAAATAAATCCGATCTATTTACACTTTTTTATTTATTTTACTCAAAACTTCATTATTTTATATTGACATTTTCTTGCAATTTTATTACCTTTATAAGTATTTAATTTTTAAATTAATCAAAAAATTATTAAAATGAGTTCTTGTAATATTTTTTTTTTAAAATTTACTTTCTAAATTTATAATTTTTCCAATTTTTTTTTATTTTAAAAATTTTTTAAATTTTAAAGGAAGGATAAAAAATAATGGTCAAATCTCGTTTTTAAAATACTCCAACTTTTAGACTCCAACTTTTAGTTATCTCTTATTTTTTAATACACATTTTTCATTTACTAAAGAATATTTAAAAATAAGATCCAACTGATAAATTTAAAATAAATATTTTAAACTAATTATTTTACTTATAAACCCAAAGAAAATACCACGTAAAAGCTTTACTTTTCCAATTATTAAATTAATATTTTAGAGAAGAATAAGAAATACCTACTTAAATAGAAAATTTAAATTTGATATAACTTTAAAATTCAAATAATTAAAATAATTTTTCTTAAAATATTTTTTAAGTCAAAATTAATTATTTTTCATTTATCTGTTAATTATTTTAGTAATTATTTAATTAAGTTTAAAGTTTGATCTTCTCTATTTTTATTAATAAGATTTGAATGAAGAGCTAAAAGTGTAAGGGATATCTCTTTTGTGTAACAGAATTTAACAAATATTTCAAATTTTAGCTAATTTAAATCTCTCTTTTTTAAAAATATTTCACAAGAAAAGATTCCCTTATTTATTTATGAGTAATTTATATATAAAAAATACACACAATCAGTTTCGAAAAAGGGTAGAAAGTACGCGAACAAAAATGGTGGAACACAAAATTGAACACAAAAAAGCCTCTTATATTTTTTTAGAAATTTATATTTTTTGTGTATTCATTCAGCCAATTCCTTCAATTTTTATTCACATTTAATATTTTATATTTATTTTTGTTTATTTATTTTTAGATGTTCCAATAAATTTTACATAATTACATATTATTTCTTCATTTAAAATATTTGATTTAGAATATTGTTTTGTGAATGATTACTACTAGTGCCCGGCAAAATTATTTTTCCAGGCTCGGAAACCGGATTTTGGTTTCGCGTTTATGCAGGACTGGATCCGGCCGACTTGTTCTGGATTAACGGTCCGGAAAAATCCGGAAATCGTGAAAGAACTCGGATATGGGAACCAAACTCTGGAAAATCCGCCCGGAGTCCGGTTCCGGTGCTGAGCACTAATTATTACAATTTTTATCAAAATAGTTAGGAAATCCATCTTTTTTAAAAATAAGTTTGGCTATCAACTATCTTTTCTATTATACCCAGATACTTTAAATTCTTTACTTATCGCCACTTTCATTTGTTTTTTATACCTAATTAGGTATTTACATATTTTCTTACGATAGTATTAAATTCATATTTATCCCACCTTTACAAAATTTTATCCAGAATTTTCGGGATGCATTTTTAATCTTTAATTTGTTTTCTCTTAATAAAAAAATATTCTCGTTCATTAAATTTATAATAATATATTTTCATTTTTTAAAGAGAATATTTAATCGAGAATGAGTTTCTTGAAGATAAGAAAATATATATTTTCGTAAATAATCAATTAAACTCAAGACTTGAAAGAAAGTGGGAAAAAATTTTTTTGAATTAATCAGTAATTTTTCTTTCTTTTTTAAAAAATAATGTTTTATTTTTTATTATTAAATATATTAATTTTATGTAAATTCCTCTCAAATAAAATTTTAAATAATATTTTTATTTTTATTGAAAAATAAACATTTTATTTAAATTATAATGATTTGTGATTTTTGTTTTTTCTTTGTTTTTATTTTAAATTATTATTTTTAAGTACAGATTTACATTTACGTAAATATTAACACATTATTTATATTAAAGTATCAACAATATAAAAATATAAAGGCAACTTTAATATATTTAAAAGTTTAGGGGGTATCTAATACATATTTTTAAAACTAAGGACTGGGAACTAAGGACGTCCTCCGACGATTTTTTGGCAAAAACCCCGTTACGATCCCGAAGGCTCTGGGTGCTACTCTATTTTAAACTATCAATAACTAGTAATTTTTTGAAGATAAAAAATTTATTAAATAAATATACAAGACAATAATTTAGTTAATATTTTCATTTTCCTTATTTTATATTAAAAAATTTAAATCAATTTTAGACACTCTAATTTCTATCCTTCCCCACACTTCTTCAATTTATTGTTTTTTGTTTGTTCGAGACCATTTTTCTTCTCTCTTCTCTTTTAACATTCTCGTTATTTTCTTTTAAATAATTTATGGCCAATTTGTCAAATGATGGAATTGTTTGTGTTGAAACTATAAACTTTATTATGGCCAAAAAAAATAAAATAATAATACTTCCGTTTTGCTCACTCATTCTCTTTTAGTTCAACAAACACCCACCCTCTAATACTTCTTTTTTTAATAAATAAATACATTTTGCGCATTCACGTCAGTCTATATTTTTTATTTAATTTTTTATTCCATTTAAAGATATATAATTTTATTTTCTTTAATTATTTAGTTGAATTCTCGGGAATTGAATTTTTAATTAAGTTTTATATATTTATTTATTTCCGTTTTTTGACTTTAATAAAATTTATAATTCTTTTATTAATTCAAAAGAATTTTTATAGTAATTATAAGAAAGTCACAAATCTGAGGGAAATTTAGCAAGAATTAATTTATTTCTTTAAATCTTTTTACTCTTAAAGTATCCTCACTTTATATCAGAGGTGAGTCGGAAATGACGAAGGTGCCGGAACTCGGAATTCCGACCCACCTCTGCTTTATATTCAAGTTTTCGTCTATTTCCTATATTTTCTGTAATTTAAATATTTTAATAAATTATTCGAAAATTTAATTTTTAATTATTTTTAGAGATGTCTAAAAATAATAACAATACTAATAGTTCTTCATCTTTCTGTTCTGCAAGTACTTCCTGTTGTTTTTCACCTCCTTATTCCCCCAAAACAAAAGAAAATCTTGAACATGAGGATAGCGGTTTTCTCTCTTGTTGGCAAATGGATGAGGGCGGAAATGAGAAGGTTTCAATGGAGAATTTTGCTTTGATTAGAGTTCTTGGAAAGGGGGGTGAGGGAATAAATAATATTTGAAGGGATTTTGATATTTGTTTTTAGCTTATGGAAAAGTATTTCTCGTTAGAAGGATAGGTGGGCAAGATAGTGGACGTTATTATGCTATGAAGGTGCTAAAAAAGACTCGAGTAACGCAAAAACAAAAAACACTTGAACACACATTAGCTGAAAGAAAAGTTTTGGAAAGATTGAAAGGATTACCTTTTTTGGTAAAAAAAAATTTTTTTAATAAAGTCGGGCCTCGATTTTACGTACACCCAAACTTTAAAAGAGACTTAAATTTGGATTAACTAGCTGCCTAAGCGTTAATTTTAGTATACTTCATTTTTACTTGAAATTTTTTTGTAGACCCACGGGTCCACGTAAAAATACTTTTACTCTCTTTTAAAATAATTATTTCTAGGTAAATATGGTTTATGCCTTCCAAACAGATACAAAATTACATATCGTTATGGGTAATTAATTTATTTTAAAAATATGTAAAATTAAAATTTAATCAGAATTTGTTCGTGGAGGAGAACTTTTTACACATTTATGTAAAAGAAAAAAATTTGATTTGTCAACAGCTAGATTTATTTTGGCAGAAATTGCTTTAGCATTAGAAAATGTTCATAAAGCGGGTGTTATTTATAGAGATTTAAAATTAGAAAATATTTTATTGGATGAGGAGGGGCATATTAAATTAACTGATTTTGGACTTTCTAAGGCTTTTGAAGTTGATGAAAATGCTACAAATTCTTATTGTGGAACTATTGAGTTAATTAAAAATTAATTAAAGAAAATTTTCTTTTTATTTATTTAGATATATGTCTCCAGAGATTATTCGCCGTACATCTGATGGATATACTCAAGTTGTTGATTGGTGGAGTTTTGGAGTTATTGCTTTTGAATTATTAACTGGATGTTCTCCATTTACGTAATAAAATATTTAAAAATATATTTAGGGTCTGAAAAAGATGGGGTGAAAGGGGGTAGGGGTGGGGTAGATAGAAGACAATGGAATCCTCTCTCAAAAAGTGTAATTAAAAGCGTCATTTAAATAGAAGTTGGAGAGAATACAATAAGTGGGAATGCCAAAACACATTTTATCATTATCTCCTTGAGGGATTTTTAAAATTTAATACCTTTCAATATATTTTTAGGGTTGATGGTGACCAGAACAGCACATCAGATATTGCAAGACGTATTCTCACTAAACGTGTGCCTTTTCCCAAAAGTATGGATCCTTCAGCTCGCGATTTAATTTTTGCGTTGTTAAATAAAGATCCAAATCAAAGGTGTTAAATAAGTAAAAATATTTTTTTAAAAATTATTTTTTAGATTGGGAGCTAAGGAAGGTTTAGAGGAAATTAAAAAAGCAAAATTCTTTGCTCCCATTAATTGGTCAGCAGTAGAAAAACGTGAAATGCCTGGACCGTTAAAACCAAACATTACTGGAGGACAAACTGACGTTGAAAATTTTGCTTCTGGTGAGGGGTTTTGGAAAAATAATTTTTTTTGAAATTATTTAGAGTTCACTGCACAAACACCATTATTCTCCCCAGCAGAAAAACCTTCACAAGAATTTCATAAATTTTTTAGAGGATATTCTTTTGTTTCGCCTTCTGTTATTTTCTCAAATGATAATGGTAAACCTATTTTTTTGAGAAGGAATTGATGATATTCACTTTATTTTTAGTAATTGGTCAAGAATGCCTCGAAGAATCTGTCCAACTTTTAACTTCAAACAATTCTGCCTTCTTTTCAAAATATAAATTAGACACAACTCCTCAGGGATTCCTTGGACGTGGTTCTTTTTCTGTTTGTAGAAAATGTCAAAGATTAAGTGATGGAAAAGAATTTGCTGTTAAAATTGTTTCGCAAAGATTTGCAAATCAAGCAATTAGGGAAGTTCGAATATTGGAAACATTAAATCCCCATCCACATATCGTTCCATTAATTGAAGCAATATCTGATCAATTTCATTATTATATAGTTTTGGAAAAATTGGAAGGAGGGGAATTATTGGATCGGTTAAGAAGAATGGAAAAATTTACAGAAATTCAAGTAAAAAAGATAAAAAATTAAAAAATATTTTTTTTTTGAAAAAATTAGGCAGCAGAAATAATGACTCAATTAGTTTCTTCATTACGGCATATGCATTCAAAAGATATTGTTCATAGAGATTTGAAGCCTGAAAATATTCTTTTTGCTAGTAGTGAACCTGGTAATTATTTTTTGGGAAATAATTCGAATAATTGATGACAGCCTTCCCTTTATTTTTATTTAATCTTACAAGAAAATATTTAATAATAATATTTGGGGAATGATTTAAAATAAACTGAGGCCACCTTATTTTTTAAACCTCTCTCTAATTTTACAAAAAATCTCTAATTAAGGCAATTATTCTCTTCGCCTTGTTGATTTTGGATTTGCAAGAATTCTCCCTTCTACTATGCGTGGAAATAGTGGAAGTTTTTCTTCGTCAACAAAAAATTTAATTACTCCTCTTTGTGGGACATTACATTATGCAGCTCCTGAAGTTTTGGAAATTGAAGATGAATTACCACAATATAATCAAGTAAAAATAAATGTTTTTTTAATTAAAAATGCTCATTTTTAGCAATGTGATTTGTGGAGTCTTGGTGTTGTTTTGTTTACTTTACTTTCTGGAAAAGTACCTTTTCATGCTAAAAGTCAAGCTGAATCAGCTGCTGATATTATTGCAAGAATTAAAAGGGCTGAATTTTCTTTTGAAGGGCCAGTTTGGGGAATGGTATCTGAACCGGCTAAAGATTTAAGTGAGTCTTTAATCCTGAATTCCGCTCTATTTCCCTGTACCATAATCAAAAGAGACGTTAGTATAGCAAAGATCTTCCAATGTCACTGAGTCTTTAATAACACAACAGGGATATTCTTGCTTTTTTCTACTCTCCCGTCTTCCTTGCTCAGTTTTTTATTCCGTTTCTTCCGTTTTCCAATTTTGAAGAATCGGTTGGCATGATTCCTGATATTCATCAAAAATAAATTTATGAGATAATCTCATTTAATCCATATATTTTTATTTTACTTTTCAAAAAAATTCTAACTCACTCAATTTATTTATTTTTTCAGTCACCGGTCTTCTAACAGTAGACCCAACACGTAGATTATCCCTTGCTCAAGTAGCAAAACATCCATGGTTAGATTCAGCAAAAACTCCAGAATCTTCTGCATATACAGCAACAGAATTACCTACCCCAACAATTTTACCTCGAAGTGCCGATGAAACTTTTAACGCAACAATTTCAGCTTTTATTTCAGCTTCACGTGAAGGATTTCAATTAATGGATGTTTATACAGCACCTTTATTAGTTAAAAGAAGGGGAATTAAAAGACAAAGAGTTGGAGGAGAAAATATTGAAGATGAAGGAAGAAAAGGAGGAGGGGAATTAATAAATGAAAATGAAGGGATGAATGAAGAAGAACAAAATAATGAAAGACAAATTGTTTGAAAAATAATTTAAAATTAAAAAATAATTTTTTAAAGGGTTTTGGAAAACAACCAGCACTTTGTTCGGTACCAGAAGGTTCTGAAACATGTTCACCACCAACCATTCGTCGTCCAACAACTTTAAATGTTTTTAGCCAAGAAGGTAAAGAAAACGGAGAGAAAAATAAAATAAAAATTTTATTAAGAATTGTTGGGGAGGGATTAATTAAATTTTATTAAAAAGTATGAAGAAAAATCTTAAATTTAAAAGATTAATTTTAATAAAAATTAAAAAAAATTTCTAGATAATTTAAATATTCAACAACAACAACAACATTCACTTCCCCAAATAAATAATACAAAAATTGTTGGAAATTCTTCAGTTTTTACAGAATATAGAGATACAAAACCTTCATATCTAAAATATAGCAGAGATGATGTTGGGGGAAATAATTCAATAAATAATAATGATTTTGAGAAGAAACCGATGAAAGCTAAATTTTTTGTTGAAGAAAATAGTAGTAGCAGTAACAGTAATGAAGATAATTAAAGAAGATATTACTTAATATTTATTGATAAAGCAAAAATATTTTTTTCTAAAAATTTTGAGGGAAGGCTTTGAAATTAATTATTTAGTTAAACTTTCTGCTTTTAACCCCAACTGTTTGCCTATATCCTTTCCCCTTAAAAATTAAAAGAAAAATATTTTTTACAAAATTAATGCCTTATTCTGTGCATTTTTAACTTTTTTTTAAAACAAAATTTCCCTTTATTAACACACACATTATTTTTTATGATTTTCTAAATTTAGTTAATAAAAATTTAAAAAAAATATACAAATGTCACTCGTCCAAATTACACAAAATTACATATGGACTGCGAGTTGGTCTAAATTTTTTATTTTCAAATCGCTCGCTATTTTTTTTGTTATTTGTTTAAAATATTTGTTTCTACGTTTACGGCCATTACAAGTTTTCTTTAGCGGGACCTCATACATATTAAAACCTACTTATCACTTGAAATATACATCTCATCTCTGCACGATATAAAAATTTAAATTACACACCTAAAACTAGATATTCCAAAAAAATTTAAGTGAAGAAAATGGAAAATATTCCACTTATTTTATTAATTTTAATACCTATTGTTTACTCCAATGATGGATTATTGAATTACAATGAAAATTGGAATAACGAATCCATTAGAAGCACTAATCCATACATGAAATTTAAAAGAGAGAGACACGATTTGCTTGATTTTTATACTGGATTTCCAAGTGATATTGAATTAGAAGATGATAATGAGTCAGAAGCTGTGGGGGATTTTTTCCTAAAAATTTCAATTTTTTTAAGACTGAACATAGTTATTATGTAATGACAACACATACAAACAATGAAGAACTTTTTTCTCAAAATTATTTAGACATTCAAAAATGGATTGATGAATGTGGGGCTTCTGGACAAGTTTAGGAATCTTTTGAATTCCAAAAATAAAAATTTAATATCTTTTTGTCTTAAAGATAGATTATGCTCATTTGAACAATGCTTATAGAATATCTATGGAAGTTAAACTTAAATTTGATTTTCCTTTTTATGGACATAAACTTCAAAAGTTAACAATTGGTGTAGGTGGATTTATTTATGTTGGTGATCAAACACATTCTTGGCTAGCAGCTACACAGTTTTTTTACAAAACTTTAATTTCGTTCTTAAATAAATCGCTTTAAGAATTCGTTAAGTCGAATTTAAATTTGAACTAAACTATCTTTGTTAGTGGGTAAGTTTTGTATACATACGGAAGTATAGTATAATCAAGGATGCAGTATAATCAAGGAGTTAATTGATCATAACTTCGTCTAAAGTTGTTGAAACAATAACTATCCTAATTTCAAATTTTTTCCGGATTCAACTTGACCGAATTCTGGTTCGGGATTCGAAATAAAGTCTAAACTCAGATTTGGACTCAGCACACAAGATTACCAAACCTCAAAAATACCGGAAGAGCACTTCTTCTTAATTTTTTCTCGGGTCCAGTAAATTGTATCTTTGACTAAGGTATTTTAAGTTTATATAATCATAACCTATATTTTTGAAAGTCTTGAATATTTTATATAACATTTTTTAGATATATTGCTCCTCTTATGGCATACTTTGATACAATGGAGAATAGATCAAGTATTGCTTATGCAGATGACGGAAAGAGAGTTGTTGTTGAATGGCATGCAATTACTCTTCGTGATAATCGACAAGGTATTTGAAAGAATCTTCAAAAAATCCTAATTTCTTAATTTATTAGCTGGCCCTTTTACCTTCCAAGTCCATCTTTGGCGCAACGCAATGGAAATATAACTTTTGTTTATAAAGAGGCATTTTAAAAAAATTTCTTCTAAAAATATTCATATCTCTTAAAGGTTCCAATCCCAATAACAAATATAAGTGATTCTTTTCATCCACCCAAAATGGGAATTTCTGATGCCTATTTATTTAATTACAAGGTTAGAAATGATCAACCTGCTTTTCAATCTAGCAAAAAAGTTATTTTCTTTTTTTACTCATTTTCCCCTCTTACTTGTCTTTCTCCTGTCTAAGAATGGAGTGAAAAAGTGGGTGTGGCTTATGGCCATGTATATGGCCATAAGTATATGTATATGCCATGTATATGGCCACTTATGGCCATGTGCTTATGTAGCACTATTACAGAGTTAATATACTGCCCCTCGACTTTGCCAAATCTCTGACAGACTTGAACATAACAAAGTGCCTCACCTAAAAACTTTAAAGAATTTTCCAGTACCGTCGAATAAACGTATTGCCTGACAAAATAACTTCAAATTCTGTGGTATTTATGGAAGCATTAAAAAGTAATTTTAAAAATTAATTTTCGAAAAAAATAAAATTATTTTTCCATCATTTTTAGCCTGTTTGGATGCTACCACATGTGAAGAATGTCAAAAAATGGTGTTAAAAACAATTAAATGTAATTGGTGTATACCAAAAGATGGTGAAGATATAGATGGGACTAATAATAAACCTTTTTGCACTGATCAAAGGGGACTACATAGACGTAGACAAGAATGGCTTGAAGGTTTTTGAAGAAAATTTTAAGAAATTTTTAAAAATTAAATTTTTAGAAAATTGTCAAGTCGAGGTTTTTTCTCAGGTTTTTTAGATTTTAAATTTAAGCTTTTATCTTTTTTAAAGTATTGCAAAGCAGAAGAGGTTACTACACCTGATAATAGTGCAAAAGAAGCCACATCTGTTGATTCACAAGATTAATGCGCTAGATAGCTACCACCATTGATCATTAATTAAATATATCAAAAACTCATTAAATAACATCATTTCCCCCTACCGGTCATTTTACAGTTTTTTGATTAATTTTTAACTAATAAATTTAAAAAATTGGACTGTATATTTATAAAATTAAATCTTTTGATACAATTATAAATACATTATTGCTAGATAATTTAAATAGCATTAACAAAACAATATTTGTAATATATTTTTGTATGATTATTTAAAGTCTAACATAATAGGAGTCTAACATACAAGTAGTTTTCTAATTAAAAAAACTTTTTCCATTTTTAAATAATTTTAATAAATATGTATGTTAGATTTTTAAATTTATTTTTGATTATTTAATTATAATTTATTTTCCATTTAATTCTGGAGGACTACTTGAAGGTGGGGGTGGAGGACATTCCTCTGGAGGTGAAACATTTATTTCTTCTGCTTCACTCCTCATAGTTTCCGGGCTTTGTTCACCAGATTCATAATTATTTTGTAATCTTTGATGTCGAGGAATTGTTGGAGAATATTCTGGTTCTTCCTAAATATTTTTTTTAAAAATTAATTTTTTCCTCGTTTACAACTAACAGGGTCTCCATTTCTTCCATATAATCCTCCTTGGCCTCTTATTAATTGTTCATTTGACATATTTGAACGAGAAAATTGTGGCGGTGTTCCTTCCTCTGATAAAGATGATTCTGTTGTTGTTACACGATTTGTTCTTCTTAATGGACCTCCTAAATTGCCGCCGCTATAAATACCCGAAGAAGCAAGCATTGTTGCGCGAGATTCTGGCCTAGAAAATTTAAATGAAAATATTAATGTTGTTATTTTAAAAATGATTTTATAAATAGTTTTGAACACAGTTAAACCAACATTCCTAAATAGTAACCTAAGTAGAAATATTAGTTAGTCTACTCTCCGTGTGGCCAATCAAGTTTACAAAAATTTATCATTCTTGATTATCAAATTTTGGAGAATTTTGGAGATAAGTGAGATTTAACGGTATTTCTTTTAAGTTTTTTGATTCTCAATTTTATGTATATAAGTAGGAATCAAATCCAAAAATATTTTTTTAAATCTACGTCAAAGTGCAATCCTCAACAGGTTCAGGCAATCTAAGTGTAGCATTTTGAGCATTTTGCATAGCTTTACGTGTTATTAATTCAACATTATATGGCCGAGGACCAGCTATTTGACTGTCTACCATATATTCCAAATCAGATTTTGTTATCAATTCTTGTTTTCTAAAAAAATTTTTTTATTTAAAAAATTATTTTTATACCTTTTACAGCACCGCAAAAGTAAATAAAGCATTGTACAAATTCCGAATACCAAAAATGCACTGACAGACAATAAAATCTTTTTAAAAATTAAATTAATTATTTCAAAAACTCTGTTGTAATTCTCTTACAATTTCAGTTGGATTTAATCTGAAGGGAGCTGTTGAACTCCAAACACCATAATCCGGAACTTGAACACTTGCCAAGAATTGTAAAGGAGAATCAGAAATTTTGAGATTTGGAATAGAAGGGGAATTTGTGTCGGAAGAGACTGATTGAGCGAGGGAAGATTCTAACAATCTATGAAAAAATATAAAAAATTATTTTTGAATTTCTGATAGAATTTAATTGCTACAATTGGGGGTAAACTGTAAAGTCAAAAGGGGTATATTTTCAAATTTCTATTTTCCAAAAAAAATTTTTTCTCACTCTTTTAATTTATTAGCAGGCAAAGGTATTCTTGTTTGTTTGTCTTGGGCATAAACAAGTAAATGAGTTCGTTTTGGATCAGCCAATCCATTTTCTCCAATATAAACTTGTTTAACAAGAACATCAACATCCAAAGAAGGGAGAAGTGCATTTAAATGTCTTTTTAAATTGAAAAATAATTTTCTACAAAAAATATAAAGTACCTAACAACATTAAGTACATCTACTTGATCTACCGGTTTATTTATTACTAAAAGAGCAATATTCGTTCCTAATTGAAGTCTATAAATCTAAAAAAGAGAATTTTTTATCGTCACAATCAGAGGTGGGGCTGAATTTAGATTTCCTCGTTCGGATGCTTTTTAACTTCCAATTTCCGATTTTTATTTAATTTCCAAGTTCTAATTTCCAAGACCTCTGTTACGACCCATCCCTAACCACAATGTAAAAATCAAAAAAATTTCCATACAGTTAAAGGTGTTTGTATTGTATGTTCTCCATCACTAACACTAACACTCAAATAATATTCATCAGAATTTTCTATTTGTAAAGATTTCATTAATTGAATAACACCAGAACTTGAATTAATAGAAAATAATTTAGAATTATCTCCTTCTAAATAAAATTGTAATTGTTTAGGCTGTTCATCAGGATCAAAGGCTTGAATACGTCCAATAGGTTGAAGTACTGGAGTTTGCCAATCCACAGCAAAAACTAATGAAGAATTAAGAATAATTAAAAGTAGAGAGATAGGATTGGGAAGAGATTTGATTCTAAAATTTTGGTATCAGGATTTCTAGAGATAACTATTTCAAATTTCGATAAATCCCCCAAGTTCAGTCTCTAATTAGCAACTTGCTTTTAAAACTAACCAATTTGTCCGTCAGATGTTAAATGATTAATTTTAGGTTCATTATCATTTTGATCAATAACTCTTACAACAATTAATGCTTGATTGTCTGATAGCTTTGATTTGATTTCTGAAATGGTAAATTTTTAATTATTTTAATTTAAAGAAGGTAGTCTATATTTATTAATCCTTTAGAGATTTTTTGATAATTTGAAAAATATTTGATGGAAGCTTTAATTTTAAAAATTCGAAAATATAAGATCAATTAAATAAATTATTTTTAATTTGTGGAAGTCATATCCCTAAATATAAAGACTATTATTATCTATTCGATGTTATCTTCTCCATATAATTATTTAAAAATAAACTAACGTTCAACTAATCCATTAAAAGCCACTTCTCGGCCTTCTTTTAAATTATTTTGTTTAATTCTATTATTAATTCCATTTTTTCTTTTTAATCTTTTTTGTAATTCTTCCTCATCATTCCCCACTTTTTTTGTTGTTAATTCAGAAGAATCAACTTGTATTTCATTAACAGAAGCTTTACCTTCCTGACTTTCAATACTTATATTAACAACCAAAAAATGAATAGATTTCTTTTCTCTATCGAGGGATTGAACAACAAAAACTTCACAATATTTGTTATTATTTTCATTAATTTCATCATTTAATTCAAATGCTTCTAAAATAAAAATTGTGGAAGATTATAAGTAGTGATTGGGAATTTCAGAACCCCCCTATTTTTTGCTCGTAGTTAGTACTGGAGGTCGGCGCAGGACAGGATCCTGCCCGAAATCCTGCCTTTTTTCGGTTTTCAGGATTGTCATGATTTCAAGATTTTCAGAATTAACCCTGAGGGATCCTGTACTGTTCGAAAGTTTAAAACCCAATCCGACCTCTAATTAGTACCAACCTCTAATTAGTACTAATTAGAGGTTTACCGACCTCTAATTGGTACCAAGTAGAGCAAGAATTTTGATAATTCATATTTTTAAATATAATTGTTAGGGTAATACATACACAGATATAGGAAGTCACCGACACAAAAAAGTCGAAGAAACGTAAACTTTTTGGTATATACTGCTGGAAATTCCCTCAAATTTTACTCTGCCCAATATTCTTAATTATAAGAAAATAAATTTTTACCATTGCTTTGATTTAATAAACAATGAATTTGCTGATTTTCACAATTTCCAATAATATTTAAATTTAAAAGTTTTTGTTTTCCTTGTGTATTTTCTGTTATTTCAGTATTGTAAACTTTTTGAGAAAAATGGCAATTCTCTTTTATATTTGTTTCTGAATCTATTTCTCCTTTAGTTATTCCAATTGTTGTTGTTGTTTGAATAATTTCGTTTGGTAATTGTTCTAATTGGACTTTTACCTAGTAAATTTATTAGTCTCTTAAAAATTCTTCTTTATGAAAGTACCGTTGTAAATGCCCAATGTAGTCCATGTTGATGCTCTTTTTGTTGACAATCAAATGCACTAATATTCAACAACCATTGATGGCCACGTTCAGAATCTAAGGGGCGTCTCCCCATCCGAATTTGTCCGTTATTCGAGTCGATAACGAAAAGTTTAGCTATTGGAGGGTCTGAAAAATATTTCTTCTTTAATTTTTAACTAAAACCCCCAACCAATCAATTCATAACAAATTTGTTTAGAAGTTCCAGCAGTTACTTGAAAAATAAAAGTTCCATTTTGTGCAGCAGCCCCACTAATATTTCCAGCATTAAATTCAGGACGAAGAAATTCTGGAGCAGCAAATTCATTTCCTTCGGGGAAAACTTCAATTCTAATATGATGTTCGGTACGGAGGGATGGACGGCCACCATCCAATGCAGAAATTATTATTTCGAATTGATCCTAAAATTGAGGTGAAAAATAAGGAAGGATTACTTTAAATATTTCAAGCTACAGTCTAAACCCATTTTTAGATACCCTAAAATTAGGTACTCTTCAATTTAAGACACGTTTTTCAAAATTTGGTTGGCCTCTGAGTGATGAAGGAGGAGCGGTTTAAGCAATGTCCTTAACTCAAGGTACCCCTCATTATAAGATACGATTTTTTCTGCTTCAAAGGGTATGTACCTAAAAAAACGGTTCGACCCTAATTGAAAACAAAAAAATTTTTCCCCTACTCGAGGATCAACATTCTCAGCAGGCACATTCTTTGTCAAAAACAATTGTCCACTTCTACCATCAATATAAAACAATCCACCGCTTGAATCTTTTTCTATTTTAAAATGCACACGCCCATGAGAACCCTCATCATTGTCTTTAGCTTGGAAAGTTGCTAATTGTGTATTATATGGAGTATTTCTTGCTATTGGTATAGTCCAAATTAAAGGCTCCAAAAAGTGTGGAAAATTATCATTTACATCGAGTATTTGGACAGTAACTAGAGTTTCGGCATTTTGATTAGTTGAGGGGTCAAAAGCCTGATAAAAATTTTTTTTAATTTAAAATAATTTTTTTGAGAATCTGTTATCTAATTTTAGTAATATGTAAAAAAATAATTTGTCATGTTTAGGGATCTAATTTTTATAATAATATTAATCATTCAATTAATCTACCTTAACTTTAAATCGATATACAGACTTTTCTTCACGATCAATTTCAGCAAAAGCTACCAAATCTCCACTATCACTATGCTTAAAATTAATTAATTAATCTCTCAAAATATTTAAAAATAATTTCTTTACCACAAAAAAAGGTAAAGGTGATTGTCCCAAATTATTTATTTCTTCATTGTCAATAATTGAATATTGAATTCCTTTTGGCATTCCCTACAGATATTTAAAAGTTAAAAAATTCCAAAAAAAGCATACAGTAGAAAGGGGATATGGTCTAAGAGTTAATTGTGCCCCACTATTGCCATAACGCCCTTCAGGAAGCATTGCTCGAAATTCAGGGGATCCAAACTTTAAATTTTGTTGTCCTACAAAATTAATTTTTATGTAATTTTAATTCATTAATTTCCACCTTTCGATTTTTGAGTAAATTTAACAATTTCAGTTGTTGCTTCAGTTTCTTCTTCCCTCTCCCCTAGGTTTGTGGTGCTAGCAAAATGCATTGGAGATACACTCACTGTAAAGCGGTGAATATTGTCTAGTTCAGTTAGTGATGTTGCCTGTTTAATAAATTAATTTTTGATTTAAAATTCTCTTTTTTAGTTTCATCCGTTCATTTTTGCCTATAATAAAAATTCTCCTTCAACAAAAAGTCCCCCTTTCACCCCCTTCGATTCTACGATAACTTTAATTCGATTTACCTCCTGATCAGAACCTTCAGAAATTTCTATTGTTGTCTCTAGAGTTGTTTTAGTTGTTGTTGTTAACTGATTATTATTCTCAACATTTTTTTCTTTTTGTTTATTTTCATTTGAAGGTAAATTTAAATCAACAGTTACACTTGTCTCTCCCATTAATGAATTGTGAACAATTAAATTTATTCGAAATTCTGCTCTTTGACGTCCATATAACCCTTCAGGTACTTCATTTAAATAAAGATTGCCAGTCTTTAAATTTATAAAAATTTAAATATTTTTATTAATAAATACATTTTATTGAACAAAATTTGGGGGGTACATTTAGTGCTTCTACAAAGAAAAGCATTATTCCCGCTTTTAACTAGAAAGTTTGTCCTTTAGTTTGATCAAAAAATCGCAATAGAAAAAACAAAATATTTTTGTTGTTAAATAAAATTTTCTAAATTAATTTTCAAAAACTACTACCTCAGAATCTACTTTAAACCATTGCCTAAATTGTGGAGGTTCAATAATCATTTCAACTTTATTTAACATTTCTTCTTTATTTGAATAATCAATTACATCCAATTTTCCAATCAAAACATTATTTGTTGGATTATTTAAGAGCCAATGATAACGAGGAAGGGCAAAATTGATCTTTTCTGTTGTTTTTGAATGTTGGCGAGTAGAAAAAGTAGAAAATGTTTTTGAGGGGGAAGTTGAAGATTTTGTTGGTATTTTTGTGGAGAATGTTGGGGGAAATTCTAAAGGACGGGCAGAGGGAACTTTTAAAGTTGTGGAAGGAGAAAATTCTTCTTCTAAATTATTTGTTGTTGTTGTTGCTAATTCTTCTTGATTTGTTAATAATGTTGTTGTTTCTTCAATTAATTCTTTAGTAAATTCATGATTAATTATTGTTGTTATTTCTTCAGCTGTACTACTTTCTAAGAATGCAGGGGAAACTGAAGATGATGAAAAAGTTGTTTTTAAGAATTCCTCGTCAGAAAGTGTTGTAATATTATTAGAATTTGTTGAAAATAATTGGGTAAATGAACTTTCAGTTGTCGGAATTGTACTTTCTTCAATATTAACTTCATTCGTAGAGGATTTATTATTATTTGATTGAATGCCTACAGCAATACTTGGAACGAGACGAACGGTATAAACACGACGAAGAAGAATACGTGGATTTGAATCTAAAAGTAAATTCGTGTAGGACTTAATATACTATGTATTTAGAAGTCAAGGGCATATATAACTAGAAAATTGTTGACTTAAGTCAACTTAAAATACAGTTAAAACTCATTTTTAGATAAACTGGATAACTTCACTTTAAGCTAAGTTTCTTTAATTTTGTTGACCACTGGGAGAGAGGGAGTTGTCTAATTTAAAATTCCTTCCATTCTAAGGTAAAATTTTTTTGGCCTAAAACGTGTATCCAAAAGTGAAGTTTGAACGTATCAATTAATTATCCTGAGTAATTAATATTTAATTACCTTTTCCGTTTTTCTTTTTTTCACCTTCATCCATCGGACTTTCCACTCTAACTCTCAATTCATATTCATTATCATCATTTCCTCCTCCTTCCTTTTGTTTATCTAACAAATTTTTATTTTCTTCCAAAAATAATTGTCCACTTTGTTTATCCATTCGAAATAACTCTTTATAATTATTTTCTTCCAAAACAAAATTCAGATTTTGTGACATATTTTTATCAATTTTTCTCATATTTTCCCAGTCGATTGAATCACGTACTGAGAAAATTGGCGCTAAATTATTTCCTCCTCCAGAACTAGCAATTATTTTTGTGTATTGTTCTTTAATTTCTTCTCCTTCTAAATCAACTGGCGGAAGTGGAAACTCGACTGTAGTGCCTATTTAATTAAATCATTTTATTTAAAATAGAGAAATATTTTCTATTATTTCTGGATAAAATAATTACACTGGGTAATTAATATTTAATCATTTGCTAGAGGGGGTAATTAATATGAAGGCGTCAATTAATTGAGTTTATTTTAGGAAAGATAATTAGTTTAACTATTTTAAGGGAGTAATTATTTTTTAGGGAGGGAGTAATTAATTATTTAATTATCCGAATGAGGTCTATTTAAATTTGACTATTTTTGAATGAATAATTAAATTAAATTTAATTTTTTTAAAATTAATATCGAGTTTTATCAAAAAAGATCAACTATCGAGTATTAAATCAGCTTGATTCTATACTAGGTATATCGATTTAGGACTTGATTATTTTCAATCTTTAATAGGAAGAATATTAGGAAAGGAATTTTCAGTCTTTGCCTAAACAGTTCTTTAAAACAATTTTTGAGTAATGTTCAATTAAAAACACACCTTTCTCGTCCAAAATTCCTTTCGCCATTCCTGGTTGTATCGATGTAAATTTCTCTCCATAATTTAATAAAATAAAAGTGGCCGTTGTACGAGCACTTAAACCACCAAAATCTTGAACTTCAACAAGAAGAGTGTAAACACCAGGCAATGCTGCATTTTGATCTTTAATAATTAATTGTCCATCTCTTTGAACGTGAACGAGATTAGAAGCATTTCCTTCAAAAAATTTATTTAAAAAACAAATTTATTTTTACCAGAAATTGCTCTAAATGCAAGTGTATCTCCTTGTCTATCAGTAAAATCCTCATCTTTAACAGACAATTTCCCAATTGGATGGCCGGCAAAAAGATTTTCTGGTTGTAAATAAAATTTAGGGAAAAGGGGTGTAAATACGGGGATATGTTCGTTGTTGTCAATTAACTTTAAAATTAAAAAAAATATTTTTTTTTAAATATTTTTCTTCGTTTTTACTTGAATTTCAACTTTAGCTCTAGCTTCTTTTCCTTCAGAAATATCTTCTGCAACAACCTAAAACACAAATAAAATTAATTAAATAATCAAAATCACCTCCATTTTTATTAACCCTTGACTTTTATCCAACATTTTTTCCATATCCACTTCTTCTTTTAACATTAAAGACCCGTTAGGCATTAATCCAAAATGTTTAAGCGCCCAAACAGTTTGTGGAGAGGTTGCTAGTCTAATTCTAATATTTGAATGTAAATTAGGTTCTAAAATTCTAATTGGAGGGCCATTCTCTAAAATACTTCCAGATGGTTGACGTTCAGATAAAATATAACGATACAAGGTAGATTCGAATTTTAATGGCGGAATTACTGAAAATTAAGGGGGGAGGGAATTTAATGAAAATTAATTTAAAAATAAATTTTAATTAAAAATTTTAACGAACAAAAATGAACAAAAAAGAATAATTCTAAAAATAGGTAAGTAAATATTATAAGTAATTTCAAAAATTCTAAGTTAGAAAGTAAATGATTTGATCGTGATATATTTCTATAATTCTAGAATAATGATAGTAAACATTTCTAAATAATTTAAGAATATTTTTGAAAAATAAAATTTAAATTATTATTAATAAAAACAAACATTTTTGTTTAATAATTATTGAAATACTTGCATCAGAAAAATATTTTTGTTGTTTATCATTTAATGCTTGATTAACAGCTCTAACTACAAGAAAAACTTCTCCACCCTTTCCGGAAGGGAAATGGCGAAGAAATGAACGGCGAACTCTTATTTGTCCCTTCAAAATAATTTTCTTAGAAATATTTTTTAAAAATTTTACAGTTTTTGGATGTATTTCTATTCCATCTGTTGGGTCATTACTTCGAGCAGGGAAAAGATTAAAACGAATATTTTCGCTTCCACCACCTGCCAAGGAAGCATTTAATGGAGGGAAAACAACGGGGAAATGGCCTTCTGGGTCGATCTAAGGAAATTAAAAATATTTTTTTTTGAAATTGTATTTTTAAATTTAACAATTTATTAAAATAAAATTTAAATAAATATTAAGTAAATGTTTTTTTAATTAATCAAAAATTTTGTTTAATTTTTAAGAATATATTTACATTAAATTCATGACTAATTTTCTCAAAAACAGGATATAATTGAGGCAATTCATCATCAATAACAATAATTCTAAGTTTATGTTCAGCAACATAAATTTTCCCTTTACGTTGAAGACGGGCACGTAAATTAATATCGAATTGGCCAGGTTTTAAGGGATTTTTAAGAAGTAAAGAATTTCCATAAATTGTAAATAAGTTTTCCCCTTCACCTTCTATCCAATAATTTAACTAGAAAAAAAGATTTTTTAATTTAATATTTTTGATTAAAATATACGTTGGAGGGCATATTTTGATTATTTTGTTGATTATTCCCTCCTATTCCATTTGGAATTAAATGCCAATTTCCATCATTTGGATCATGAATACGCACAGACAAACTATTAAATATAATAGAAAATAAAGTCGAACTTTATAATATACAGGAAAAAAATTTTTAAAGTTGGTTGGTCATTGAGTAGGAGAACTGATTAAGGGTTAACCCTATTTAAAATATACCCCTTATAGGGTATGATTTTTCAATATTAAAAGTGGATTTAAAAAGAGAGAGGGTCGACTATATTAATACATATTTACTAGAGATTGGTCTGGATCTGGATCCACTCTGGATTTTTCCTGGATCCAAATCAAGAATCCTGTCCAGGTTACTAACCTAAATCCAGATCCAGGGTTTTTAAAATACCGATCTCTAATATTTACTAATCAAATATATATTTACTTAATAATTGTAGAACCAGGTGCTTTGGTTGGAGCTAAAAAAATATTTTTTGGAAGAGGAATAAATTCAAGAATTTCATTATTTTGGTTATTAATTGATTGATTTAGTGAAATAGTAGAAGTTGGAGGAGATAAAATAGATGAGGGAGATGTTGTACTGATAAATGTTTGTAATGTTGTTTCTTCAATTATTTTTTGATTTTCAATTCTTTTTTGTTTATTTTCAATTAATTCTGATAAAAATATAACATTAACTACTGCTTCAGAACAATTGTTATGGTTTTGTTGTTGTTGATATTTTTGTGTTTGGTAATTAGAACAAGCAAACACCTTTAAATAATTTTTAATAAATACTTTTTAATCTTTAAATGTCTTAAGATAAATATAGTTGGGCCTCAGTATAAAAAAGCTTATCTCATAATGAGGGTTACTCTATATTAGAGGTATTGCTTAGGCAGCAGCGCCTAAATTAAAGGTCTGACTGGATATGTTACTTAAACTATAAAATAAATCCCAAAAAATCCAGAACGTCTCTTCAATATCAATCAGAATTTTTTAAAGCCCCTCTCACAAATATTATTAAAAATAAATTTATTTTAACTATATTTTTCTTTAAAATTATTCTTAAAAATATTCAAACTTTAAATTTAATTCCTTCTCTTTTACTCAATTCATTTTCCGTTGGTTTCCTCATTAAATGTATTTTTCCACTTTCACGTCCAATACTAAATAAATCACTTGGGGATATTTGTATAGCTTCAACAACTTCTTTTTGTTTATTTTCAATTATTTTAATTTCATTTTTTTGTTCTTCAATTAAATAAATAATTAAAGGAATTTCTGTCAATTCCGTTTTATTTGTTTTTATTTCTGCTTGGATTTGCCCCAAAAATGTTGGAAAATGTTTTAGATTAGACAAATCAACTTCAAAATTAAATTGTTGACGATCGAAGAAAGGCTTAATTGTTGGGGTTGTTTCATCAAAGATAACAGAAACGAGGGCTGTTGCCTTAAAAATAGGAAAGAAAAAATGTTTAAAATATTTTTTAGATTTTTAAAATTATTTAAAAAATATTTTTTCCCATAAAAATTAACTATATTAAAATTCAAGTTCAAAAACCTTAGTCAAAAGATAAACCAAAGATTCTGGCAACATTATTTCATTATTTTTAAAAATATTCGAATAATTCCAGAGTACATAATTTGAAGAAATTTTTTTTAAAAAACGTACAAAAATCAATCAAGGAATTTTTGTGGACAAAAAAGTGTTAAATACTAAAGACATTAGAAGTAAGTGAAGATAATCTTCACTTAAAAGTGTGCACTAAAAATTACAAGATTTAAAAAATAATTTAGAATAAACTAGAAAAAATAATTTAAAAAATAAATGGAGAAATATTATTAAGAAATATTGAAAGTTATCTAAATTTTATAAGAAATAAAATTTTATTAAAATATTAAATTTTAATTTGTTTAATTATATAAATAATTATTATGACAATATAAAAATAAAAACAATAAAAATAAAATAAATAGAAGGTTTAGAAATAAATAATAATTATATTTTTAGCAGAAAGGCGGCAAAAAAGGTGGGCAAAGAAAAGCATTTCCTTGACGAGAAAAAAGGTTGCCAAGCGCCCAATGACCACCCATAATAATATTTAATAACGTACAAAAAATAGGAAAAAAAGGAAGAAAGACTAGAGAATAAAATAAAAAATATATTTTAAAAAAATAGTGAAATTGTGGATTGAATTATTTTTTTAGAAAAATATTATTGCCAATATCATTATTTATTTTTTGATTAAAGGGAACTTTTTATTATTATAGTATTTATTTAAAAATTCAAACCCAAATCCGCCCATCACGTGGATGCATAGCTGCCACAGAAAAACGAATTTCTTCAAAACGTTCTGCTCCACCAACTAATTTAGGACCAACAAATAACCGCCCACTAAACATATCTACACCAACAAAACCATCTATTCCCTCCTCGACTGCGTATTCAATTAATGACTAAAAATTTTAATTATTCAAAATTTAAATAATCCACCACCTCCTCTTCCTTCTCAATGTCTAATATTTCTTCTTTATTTCCATCCCGATCCTCTAAATCCCCTTCTTCACTCATTTTTCTTTTAACTGAAGAAACCCATCCAATAGTTTGTCCCTCAAATAAATTCCCAAACATTCGAAAAATATAATTATTTTGAGAGAATTTTATTTCGTTGCGTAAACGAAGGTTTTGATTGGTATTTTTAAATGTGTTTGTGTTTGAAGTTGCAGTAGAAGTAGAGGATTTGCCTTGACGTCGAATGAGTATTGGTGGAACATCCTAGAAAGTTTTAAGGAAGGTATTTTAATTGGAAGAAGAATATGGCATTAAAATTTCCAAATTGGATTAAAAACCCCCCAACGTTAAAATAATTCTATCTTTAAAAATTATAATCGGACCTCGAATTTGATGAAATTAAATTATTTATAATTTTCGGCTCCTAAGGAGTATCAAAATTCATTGTTCGACTGTTTACTTTTTACCTTATCAACAGTCCTAATTCTTGTAGCCCAAGCTTTTGGACTAATATCCTCTTCTTCTCCTTCAATTTCTTCATTTATAGCCGAACGTTGATGTTTCCTTTCCCCCCTTACTTCATCTAATAATTGTTCATTATTTGTTAAATGATGGTGATGTTGTTGTTGTTCTTCCAAAATTTCTTTTTCTTCTTCAATTCGAACATTAACAGACACTCGAGCAGTTCTTTTATTTAAAAAAAAATTATTTTAAAATTTATTTAAAATTAACACCTCGGATCTTCATCAGAATCATATGCCTCCACAGTAAATGTATATTCTGATTGTGGTTTATAAGGTTGTTGAAAGAGCTGTAAGTGCATTGGTTTTATTACAAAAAATAATGTAGCGGCACCATCAGCCTTAAAAATAATTTTTATAATTTTATCTCATTATTTGTGAGGAGTACCATAATTTAAATGCAAAATACCTGAAATAAAACAAAAGGAAGGGGTTCTTCCCCTCCATGTCCATCAGGAACAAATTCATCAAGTATTCGATATCGAAGGTGACCAAATTCATCAGCGTCTCCATCGACAGCTCGTAATGAGCCAACTTCGGTATTGTTGTAAGGAAATGGGTCAATTCGAAATCGGTATACTTTTTGAGTAAATTTAGGGCTGTGATCATTAACCTAAAATTTGAAATAATATTTTATTACCCATTAATTTGTTTTAAATTGTCTTATTGTTTTGTTAAAAATATTTTTACTAAAAAAATTTTTTTAATAAAAAAAACAAACATCGTCTATTAAAATCTCAGCTGTAGCAATTTGGCATAATTCTAATGATTTTGGATGTAGAGATGATTTATTAACCTGATATTTTGTTAAAAATTGAAGAGAAATGTGAAGAGGAAAAAAGTTAATAAGCCGATAAACATTTTTAGATACTCCCACAGAATTAGGGAATCCGTAATTTAAGATAAGTTAATTTAGGTACAAGTAGTTGAACAGGGTGAGAGTAAGGCTGCCTAAAAGATATCCCCCAATTTAAAATTTTTTTCAGCGCTAAAGGGTATCTAAAAATGAGTTTTGATTGAATATCAATTTAAATCTTTAAAGAATTTATTTTTTCAAATTATTTCTTACTTTCAATTTAGCCTTAATTACAATCCTTTCAGTACGTTCTCTATCAATATCAACACCAGGCAATACACTAACTAACCCATAAGGGTCAACTTTAAATAATTCAGTTCCATTAAGTAATTCTACCCCTTCAACCTTTAAAAGTAAATTTAAATTAATTATTTATTTAAAAATAACAACAAACATCTCCTTTAAAATTAAATTGTAATATTCGTGTAAAAGCACTAGGATTTTCAGCTAAATGTACTAAATAATGACATTGAGTAAAATAAGTTAATTTAATTTCTGTTCTGTCAGTTAAAATTAATTTTGTTCGAATAACTTGGCGATTATTGCTTGAATTTTTTGGTAAAAGAGTGGCCTGAAAAAGGATGGAATTATAAAAATATTGTCCTCTTGTTTTTAACCAAAATATTCATTTCAATATTCTGTGGTGGCTGTTCTGGTAATTGTTCTACAAGTCTAATACGCCCAGAATCTCGTTCTATTTGAAAAAGTGCAGCATAGGGATTAGATGAAATATCTAAATCATAAATAATTCGATCACCAGCCCTTTGAAGGGGGAAATTGGCATTTATTGGTTCTGATGGAATTATTTCTGTGCCAGATCTCATTTCCTGAAATTTTATTAAAAAATTTACTTTTAATGTTTATAGCTTCTCTAATTTCCAAATATATTTTTAATTTTATTTGTATTAATTTTCAATATATAAATTAATCATTAATACCCTCAAATATCTTCCTCCACTTACTTTAGTAAAATTTCCATAATAAACAGATTTACTAAATTTCCCATTTTCTATTACATTATTTGTTTTTTCCTGTTCTTCAGATATTAAAAGGAAACGTAATTTTATTCGACTTTTACGTTCTTCTGGTATTCCATTATCCTTTAAATTATTTTTTAATATTTAATTTCTCTCAATTAATTAACTAACAGTTGCTGTAATATTAATAATTAATTGTTCTTTTTCATTCAAAATAATATCCTCATCTAATAATTTAAGTAATATTTGTGGAGGTAATTGTTGTTCATGCCAATCCTCTATTCGATTAGAATAGGGAAAATGTAAGGTAGAAAGAAAGTTAACTTGTTCATTAATTGGTAAGGAAGAACGATTACCCAATTCGATAGAAAAATATTTATTTAATGGAGGGTCCTTTTTAAATAATTAATTTTTGATAAATAAATAATTATTTTACCACACTAAAAGTAATTGGATAATGTTCAGCGGGTTCTTGATCAAGTGCTAATAATTGAGTATCAAATAATGAGCCAAAAGTTTTTGAGTTCTATTTTTAAAAAAATTGTAGATAATTGTTGTTAATTCCCTTTATTTTTCCAACCTTTGGAATGCTAATTTCCCCCGCTATACTATCATCGGCAACGCGAATTCCATGTATCCACCATTCGGGAGCATGCAAATTGTGTGTAAGTAATCGGACTGTAAGCAATGGATAAAGACGTCCATTACACCTAACAGTGACATATAACAATGATTCATTAATTGATGAAGGATATGCGGGTAATTTAAGTGAAGAATTAACAGAAGTGGTTGTTGAAGAAGTTTGGGATATAATGTCGTTGCTAAATAAGATGAATTGACCGTTTGGTCTTTTTTCTAATGAGAGCCAGTCATGTATTTGTTCCTAAAATATTTTTGAGGGGTTTTGAAGGAAATACATATTTAATAACCTGAGCCAAATTGTTAGACCGAACATTCGCAATTTCTAACTTGGCATCTGATGGCTCTACAACTGTGTCCAACAAAATTGAACGTGGGGGAGGCCCTGAAGGTATATCAATGAAGAATGGACGTTCTTCACTTTCCGGGAAATGGCAAACTCTTTCAGTTTGATAATTCTGCCTTGTTAATAGTCCTTCTTCGTTAGCATAGGACAATGAAGGAAATATTAAAAGGTGAATGAAGTAAATGAAGCAAAACATTATTAATAATATAGAAGGGTAAGAGATGAAATAATTTTGAGCATTTTTATTTTCTAAATTAATACAAATAAATATTTTAAATTCATCAGATTCTTTGTTACTTAAATTATTATCAAGATATTGTAAACGGAAACTAATGGAGGACAAGAGAATCTTTAAAAAATAACTGATAGATGTGTATAATAAAAAAAACAGATAACAACACTAAATTATTCATTAGATGTTTAATCATAGCGGAAATTACGTTTTTCAATTAAATATTTTCTTTAAAATCCAGGATATATTAATGATAAAATTGCGCGAGATAAATCAATAACAAAAAATAAATTAAGTAATCCAAAGTAACAACATTGATCATTAGCGCATTTTCTATATCACCAAACCAAAATAATAAATTAAAAAGAATTTTGTTAAGGAATTTGTGTGTGTTTTGATCTACTTAAATATTTACTGTTTTCAATAATTTATTGTTGCTTTAGTTTATCGCAATAAATAAAAATAATATATGATTGAAGACAAATAAAATTATGCCAATTAATAAGAGGGTGTTTGTTAATTATTACAAAGAAAACTATTAATGTAACAATGTAAAAATTAAATAAATTAATTAGTATATTAGCAATGAAATGAATTTTATAAAAATTAAGCAATAAAAAAGATCAATTTTTAGAAATTATTTTATTAATTATTAGCTAATAAAGTTAAATAAATAATTGCTTAGTTTAGTAAAAATATGAAAATAAAATGTTATTAATTTTGTTTAGAAATTAAATATTTTGTAATAAAAATAAAAGTTTTTAATCAAAAAAAGGTAAAAATCAGCAAGCACAATTACTTTTACTTAAATTCTTTTCTTCATTTAATTTTAGCGCAAACGGATATATAAAGGATTGAATTTGTTAAAACTATTACAAACGATTGTCTATATTGTACATAAATATATTTAATTTTTATTCTTCCAATCTTAAAAACAAAATTGGATTTTGAATGAAAAGTTAGGTGAAAGTATTATTAAAGAGAAAAGAAAGGAAAAAAATATTTTAAGAAAACAGGTAAGAAAGAAAAATCCGTTCAAAAATATTTTACCGAAAAGGAGAGAATGCCGATAAAAAATAAGAAAGAAATAAATATATGTTGTACTTATAAATATTTAAATAAATATTTATGGTTGTCACGAATTTAAAAAATATAAACTCCTAACAAGCTTGTTCTAATAATAAATAATCCCGATTAAAAAAAAGGAAAGTCGCTTATGAAGTAAAGTTTAAAGGACTATTTTTGAGTTTGTTTAGCCAATAAGGATTTAAAATCCGGATCCGAAAAAAGGCCGGATATCCGAATTTTTCGGTTCGAATATCAATCCGGATCTGGATATCCGAAGATTTCCAACTACCCGACAACCTTATTAGCCCAGACCCTAAAGTTGATAATAATTGGATAAAAGAATTTTATTATAAAATTAATATCAGAGGAATAACTAAATGATTTTTTAAAGTTTTTTTGGAATAAAATTGTTTTATAAGAAATTAAATAATATAAAAATTAGTTTTTGGAGTAGATATTTCTCAGAATCAAAAAAAATAATTTTGTAAAAATATTTTTTATTTGTTTGTTTGGGATAATAAGAGCGGTTATTTGTTGGCGGTTATTTTATTTTTTTTTTTGAGTTCTGAGGATAATTAGAAATAGAGAAAAGAGAAAAAAGTAAGAGAAAATAAAAACAAATATTAGCCGCTGCGCGAAGGTCAATAATAATTTTATTTTTCATTAATTTACAAGGGTACTTGCCAAAGAAACGTGTGGTCATCTTTGGATTATGATCGTATTTGCCTAAAAAGTTGAAACAACCTTAAAACTAATTTGTTTTTTGAATGATACGCGATCCAAAACATATGAAAAATAAAAAAAGAAAATAATAAAAATGAACGATTAATATTTTATAATTCAAAAATAAAAAGAATAATTAGGTAATTAATGTTATTACAAAACATCTGACCAAATAAACGTGTGTCTAAAAACAATTCAAAGGAACTAACACAAATCTGAAAGAAAAAGAAGGAACAGGAAAGAAAAAATAGTTCGGAAATTACGAAGGTGCCGGAAATCAGAAGAAGAAAAACACAGTGAAAGAAAATCATAATTCTCACAAAACCTCTGCTTGAAAGGAATTTATAACCAAGTTCAATAAAAATATCTTTAAAAAAAAGTAAAAAATATTTAATAATAAATTTATATTTTCTGAAAAAAACTAAAATAAATTGTTGCCTTTCACTGACCTCTTTATTATAAAAAAAGATTATAAAAATTAATTAAAATGACTGCTACAATTAACATCATCATGCAATGGCTAACACCAAATAATGTGATAAAAATAAATAAAAGAATTTTTATTTTCCAGTAAATCCCTTTCATTTTTACTTGGCGGTCCGCGCAAATAAATAAAGAAAATGATTAAAAAATTATGCAAAAATTTTGCGGATATTTTGTAATAAATAGGGGGAATAATTAATTAATTATGAAAATAAATTAAGGGTGAATTTTGGCAAATAATATTTTAAAATTTAATTTTTAAATAAATATTTAGAGGTTTTTTTAATAAAAAAATTTAATTTTAATAAATATGTATTTACTCTATTTACATGTGTTAGTATTTCCGCAAAATAAAAAAATTTGTTTCTAATTAAATCCGCAAGTTAGCGCTAATTAGTCAAGTCAAGCATTCACGAGAACTGACTGGAAAAGGAAAGAGAGAGAAAGAAATGGGTCAAAGAAAATTCAAGCTGGGTATGCCAATATTATTTACAGAAAACCGAAAACAAAGACTGACAGCGTTTGAAAGAAAAATATTTTTACTTTGGAAGAAAGGAAATAGGAATGATTTAATAATTGTTAGTGATAATTAAAATAATTAATTTTTTGATTTTGTTTTAAAATTAGTGTTAGTAATTTACAAAAAATATTAGTGAAAAAAGAGGGGATTTTAATGAAATATGTACATATTTTTTTAGCTAAATATGTAGGTGTTTTTACTGACAATTTAAATTAAAATAACAAATTTTAGTAAAATATAAATTATTTATAAAGAATTTCTTTAATTTTCTCAATAAGTTCATTTAAAGGTATTCCAACAACATTTGTATAACTCCCATAAACAGCTTTAATTAAGGCAGCTCCTTTGCCTTGAATTGCATAAGCTCCTGCACGATTCCTTTTAATTTTTAAATTTATTTTCTTTTAAATTAGAAAAAAACATTGCTTCTCCAGTATTAATATAATTCCAAATTAATTTATCTCCATTTCTTCCAAATTCTACCTCAGTTTCAACACTAAACACAACCTTTTTCCCCTTTTTGTTTATTAAACATATTCCTGTCCGAACTTGGTGTTTACGCCCATCAAGGGATTTTAAAATATTAAATGCATCATTTTTGTTTAAAGGTTTTCCAATTAATTTACCATCTATTGAAATCATTGTATCACAAGCAATGAGTAAATCAAACTCGATCTAATTAAATTTGATGGTTATTTTTAAAATTTAATTTTTTAATAATTATTGTTTTGTGTTTTCAAATGAGCCTAAAAGAAAATTTTTTATTTGAGCTCTGGGGGGTTAAAATATTTTATGAAGTACTGTACCCCATTTCATGTTGATTTTCGAAAGTTGAGATCTCGATGAAAAAAAAGTTACTGACTTAGTTCTTTTTTATTGTCTACTTAATATCAATGAAAATTTCCATAGAAATTAAAAAAAAATTTTTGCATTTATCCTTTAGAAATTTCGATTTTTGTAAAATGTGCATAAACTTTTGCAACGCAGTGTGTGTAAATTCTCCAAATTAATTATAACTTACTTTCTCATTTTTTAACTCCCCCTCAACTTGTTCAGCTTTTTGTTTTGCCGTCTCCTCTACAAATTCTTTAATATTTAGAGAACGGGGTAAATCTTCTGCATATGTTGAAGGACGAATCAAAAATGGGGTTATACCCTAATAAAAGAAATAATAAAAACAACTCATTTAAGTCACATTTCTCTTTTCATTGTATTGCATTACCCTCACGTGCTTTAAACGTCCATATGCTCTTTTTTTTATTTTTTCTAAATTCGTCTGTTTATTGAATGTTTTAATTTAATATTTGAAAACACGTGTTTTATTTTTCGTTTCTCTCATTCAAAATTTCCATTAAATTTTTTAAAAAATTTAATATAGGATATTTTTGGCATTGTGTTTTTAATTAAAATTTTTTATTTTCTTTAGGGCACAGCCCGAAACGGCGCGCGGCCATAACGGCGCAAAGTCAGAACTTGCTGGAAAATGTCTGGCCCTTGTCAATTTTGGTACCAATCTCGCCAGCTCGATGAGAGAAATCGTTTGAAACTAAATTTAGAAAGATTAGGAAATCTTGGAGCAGGTTATGGCTTTGCGCCATTTGAGGCGTGTCACTTTTCTTTATTCTGTTTCTTTTGTTTTATTTTCGAATTTATTTTTTTGTAAATTATTTTTTAAACTTACAATTTGTTTCAGTAAAGCTAATCTATTCTCAGAAGAACTTGCTAAAACAATTTTTGGTTGATTTATTTCACAATTTTCACTCAAATTTTTGTTGTCAGTTAAATGCAAAGAAATGTCTGCTTCACTATCATTACCTTCAAACAGAAGCCAGTTGGACATATTATTCAGACAGACACTTATCTTCAGCAAAATGTTCAAAAAATCTTGGGCTAGTTCGCCTGAAATTTTGAAAATGTAAATATTTAAATTTAAAAAAATTAAAAACAAGAAAAACATTTGGGTACTTTTAGTTTGTGTTTGTTCCTATAAATAAACAAATTTTAGATTATATCAACATTCATGTGATTATGCATTTAATGGAAGAGCATTGGAGTTAGTTGAGCGAAATCTTCCTAAAATGTTTATTGAAAATGTAAGTATAACATTAGAGTAACATTGTTAGAGTACCTTATTGTTAGACTATTAGTAATGTTATTAGTGCCCGGCGCCGGACACGACTCCGACTGGATTTGCCGGAGTTCGGGTCCCAAATCCGTGTTTTTTCGTGATCTCTAGATTTTTCCGACCGGATCAATCCAGAAAAATTTGGCAGAATTTGTTCGGCACCAGTGTGAAATTTAAAATCCGGTTTCCGGGCTTGGAAAATGATATTGCCGGGCACTAATTATTAACCTTAGATAAATTTACTTTGAGGATCGGCCCTTTTTCCCTAACTCAACGTCGAGAATTTACTATCTTTTCTAATAACTAAATAATTTTTTTTTCTTTTAAAAGGACCAAGTTCGAAATGGAATACAAATTCAAGAGGGCTGGTTCATCAGTCCAATGAATGACATTTCTTCCCGTTTCTTCGAGTCTGGCCAAAATGTTTCTCGTGCCTTTTGGAGAGGATACTTTCCTGGCCCCAATCGAAAACGTAATGGACTAATGTTTGTTAACTTTTATTGTTTAATTTATGAAAAATTTTTTTAGAATTCATTTGGCCCCAACTGGTGATGACACTTATTGGCGAAGATATAATGGATTTGTTAAACCGCTCTTGGCACTTGGTGTATCTTCAATTCTTCTACAAAATCCATTTTATGGAGAAAGAAAGCCAAGCAGTTTTGTATTTATTTTAAATTTTATTTAAAAGGGGAGTTATAATTGGAGAAATAATTTTCTCTTGGAATTTTTGACTCTTACCAAATATGCTTTTTGGAAATTTTAATTTGGGACACTTAGATTTATTTTCAATTTTATCCATAAATAATAAAATATAATAACTTTTCCCCATGTTTTCTGTTAGGTTAATTTTTGAATATAACAAATTTAAGCTTTAAAATATATTTTCAATTTATTTATTAAGACCAATTTCGTTCATCACTCCTTAACGTCTCTGATTTATTTGTAATGGGTGGAAGTTTAATTCTCGAGTGTTGTTTTCTTACACGTTGGGCACGTGAACAAGGATTTTCACCAATTGGAATTTCTGGTATATATTTTTTTTAATTTTTTAGCTTATACTTATGTCTAAAGCCTTTGTAAATGTATTTTTAATTACACCAAAAATAAATAAAATATTTGAATATTCTAAAATTTAGGTGTATCAATGGGAGGTCATATGGCCTCACTTGCTGTCACAAATATTCGAGATAAACCAGTTTCTCTCATCCCTCTTCTCTCTTGGACTTCAGCTTCCCCAGTTTTCACACAGGGCGCTTTAGCTGAAGCTATTGGATGGAAAGAATTGAGCGATGAATTAGAAACAAATAAAGAATTGGAGAAGGTTCTCTTTGACTGTGGTTGGCTTACAATGATGGTGGGCATTTTTTAATTTTTAAGTCAAATTTATTTGTGAAATTATGGGGGTAAATTGTGAGTATTTTATTTTAGGAACCGTAAGGGTTTAATTTTGGGTTCTTATTTCCTTTCCCTCCAAACCCCCAGTCTTCCCTCCAAAATTCCCATTTTTTTTACCATTTTAGGAAGATCAAACTCACCCAGCGTATAAACTGTTCCCAAAATCACGAGCCCATCGACTAATGTGGATATTAATGGATGCCTTTACAAACTTAGCTAATTACCCTGCACCCATCAATACTGATTCTATTCGTGTTGTGGTGGCGGAGGATGATGCATATGTGCCACGAAGTAGTTATATCCCAGATATTAGTGATCTATGGCCTGGAGTTTCTGTTAGTTGTATTCCGGGTACTGGACATGTTGGAGCTTATTTGGGGTAAGTTTAGAGTATTAGACAATGAATTCCTCAACAAGAAAACCGATTAAAGCCCGAAACAAAAAAATTTGTATTGAGGAATAGACTAAATTTCTATTTAAAATTCCTATTAAAATTTTAAATAATTTTAGATCCCATAAACTCTTTCAAGAGAAGATTTTGGAGGCAATCGGGTATAGTGTTCCCGCGCCAGACACTACTACACTAATGGATATTCCGCTGAGTCACCAAATTTCCTTCGCCTTGGCAAGGTTGAGAGTTAGGAATGCAATGGAAAGAAGTAATGAAAAGCCAAGAAGAGGTTTGATTTGAAAAAGTGATAATTGTGATGATGACCTTTTATAACTAATACATAGTATTATATAATTTTAAATAAATTCCGTTAAGTATTATACTCGCCTCGTGACGTCTAAATCTTGGCCAGCGGGGACAATATTGTCCTTTCCATAATTAATCGCGCTAATTATGTTGTTGCTTTTTTAATTAAAATTAGTATTACTTTTAGCGCCTGGGATACAAAACTACCTCAAACAACAGTCAATGCTATCACGCTGGACCTGCTAACGGTATTGCACGCGCGAATACTACAACTCTGATCGAGGTTCAACGTCTGGTTAGTTCAGATTATTTTTCTTATAATTTTATATTGATTTAGCCAGGTCCTATCTCCACCGACAAAATTGTTGTTGAATTAGTGAAGACGGAACTTACTTCAAGTCAACTCGACCCAAAAACTATAATTCCAACCAAAGAGAGGGGCGAGTTCAATGTTCAAGTCAATGTGAGTGCTGTGGAAAGCACCGAAGCCAACTTTCCTGTGCGACAACATCAGCTAGTGCCTAAGATGAATAAGAAATGTGGAGATTTTTAGGAAATATTTTAGGATAAATAGAAAAATGTTCTTGTAATTTGTTTGTGGTTGCGGTTGGTAGATAAAAATGTAAAGAATATTTTTTTAAGTTCTGGAGAAAAACAGTGGCACTAGCTGATGTTGTCGCACAGGTAAGTTGGCTTCGGTGCTTTCCACAGCACTCACATTGACTTGAACATTGAACTCGCCCCTCTCTTTGGTTGGAATTATAGTTTTTGGGTCGAGTTGACTTGAAGTAAGTTCCGTCTTCACTAATTCAACAACAATTTTGTCGGTGGAGATAGGACCTGGCTAAATCAATATAAAATTATAAGAAAAATAATCTGAACTAACCAGACGTTGAACCTCGATCAGAGTTGTAGTATTCGCGCGTGCAATACCGTTAGCAGGTCCAGCGTGATAGCATTGACTGTTGTTTGAGGTAATTTTGTATCCCAGGCGCTAAAAGTAGTACTAATTTTAATTAAAAAAGCAACAAACATAATTAGCGCGATTAATTATGGAAAGGACAAAATTGTCTCCACTGGCCAAGATTTGGACGTCACGAGGCGAGACTTGAATACCCTCCATTATATCCGTGTTTTAGACTGCCACGATTAAAATCACCAATATTTGTATTTTTTCCTAGCCATTTTAGGTGAAAAAACAGAATTTTTTTGAAAAATAAAAATAAAATGTATAAAAAACAAAATCAGCGGAGAAATGGATACACATTTTGCCTTACGACAAACATAAAATATAAAGGGAAATTAACCATTCCGAAGCTGTCTAAGGAAATAAGGAAAAAACTCAACCAGGCACTCCTTTCAGATAGGGTCGATTCTCATTACCTTCCACCGCATTGAAAAATATAAGGAAATAAAGGATAAGATGTTTTAAAATATGAAAAATCAGAAGAGGATAAAATATCTAAACGATAAAACACAAGATTTTCCCTAGAATTCCTCCTCAATTTTTCCCTAGAATTTGTTAAAAAAATATTTTTACATTTTTATTTACCATCCGACAACCACAAACATAAAATATACTTTGCAGTCCGTAACATAACAAATTACAAGAACATTTTTCTATATTTATCCTAAAATATTCCCTCAAATTTTCTTAAATTTAATTCAATCTCTTCAATGAAGGAGCATCCTTAGGCGGCGGCGGGAATTTTGAATCAGGTGTCCATTCACGTCCTTTAACTGTTCGGTGGAACCATTTCTCAGACTTAATCTGAGTCCAAACTTTTCGCTTCCAATAAACTAATACAAATGACACAATCGGTATCAGAAGTGCCAACTAATGGGAAAGGGAAAATTATTGGAAGAAATTCGATAAAAATAACCTTTATGGCATACTGCTTTCGCTTGTCATGCCATTGCTCACAGGCCCAACGTAAATACTAAAAAAATTTTTTTTGACAAAGCAATTATCCAAAACAAACCGTCACAACATCCTTTGCTTGCTGACTCATTGTTGCCGGCGTTCCATCTTTGTATTCAATTCCTTCATCAAATAATTGTTGTGGCATTGCCAGTACACTTCCATTCGGGAAATATGGATTATAAGCTTTTCCCTCCTCACAAAGCACTCCCTCAGGCGGGTCAAACCCATAACTGAATAGTAAAATTAACGCAATTTGAAAAAAAAGCCAGAAGCCAAGCACGCACTTATTAAAATTTTCGAGGGGGATTATTCATTTTGACTATATTAAAAATTAAATTGTAAACCCAGTAAGCAAATGGAAAACGTAGTTATCTCCATCATCTCGAGCCCATCCCATCAATGACAAATCCGGAGGCTCTGCTCCATTATTGGCAGCTTCAGCTGCTTGCTTGTTTGGATATGGTGACGGAAGAAAGTCATTCAAAAGTCCAGGACGTTTTGCTGGGACACCTTTGTCGTCAATAAAATCAACTTCAATTTCGGCAGCCTCAGCCTTTGCCTCATCCTCTGACATAAAATTATTAACAAAATGTCGATAACGAATGTATTGCATGCTATGACAAGCAGCACAAACCTTAAAATGAAAATTTGAGGTTATGACAAAAAAGGAAAAATTATCTAGACCAACTTGTTTGTAAACTTCATAACCACGTCGAACGCTGTAAATTTTAAAAATTAATAAATTTATTTTAAAAAAGTAAATGACGATGCCATATCCAAAGAATCGATTAAACCACCATGGGACCATGGTAATTGAAAAGGATGTACAACAAAATCAGAAGCATCAGCAGTATGTTCTAAGGCATACGCGAAACCACAAGTAAACACACCGCCAGCAATACAGACAACCCATTTTCCTTTCTTAAAATTTTTAAATTATTAGAAAAATTGGCTGTAGTGTAGTGTACCGGTGGTAAAAGTTCGGGACGTGACATATGTCATTCGATTCGTCTCGACGAGCTGAGTCGAACGGTACCACTCCCTACTTTAGGAAATAATTCTGGACTGAGTTATAGGTCCCGAAAAATCGAAAAACCAAAGGGGGGACCAAGCACTTTTTTGGGGTGAAAAATTCGAAAATGCAAATTATACCTCATTCGAAAGAGCTCGTCGAGCTGAGTCGAATGATAACCCACCGTTCTTCAAATCACCCTTTATCTCTCCAAATATTTACCGATATCCTCCTAAATCCACCTATAAGCATTAAAATGCTCTTAATCTCTCTTAATCCACTGATATCCCTCTTAATCCTCTGTTATCTATTAATTCCTCCTTTAATCTGTCGAAATCCACCGATATTATTTCCAAATCCGACGATATTCAACATATTTATAATTAAAAAATTTTTTAAATTAAAATCCCGGAATCCCGCGGGATCCCGGTAAATTTGAGAACGGGATTACCGGCTCCGGGATTAACGGGATTAATCCCGCGGGATCCCTCCCGTTCGATATTTTCAAACTCAATCCCGTTACGGGATCCCGGAAATGCGATTTTGCCGATCTCTAATGCAGGATATGGAATTTTTAAAATTAAATCCACGGGGACTCAATTGAGGTATATACAACGGGGACTCAATCGTGCGGACTCAATCGTGGGGACTCAATTGTGCCGGGACTCAATCGTGGGGACTCAATCGTGCGGACTCAATCGTGGGGACTCAATCGTGCGGACTCAGTTGAACTGCTCCGTAAATATCGATGTTTTGCGCCAAACGATTGCGAATCGACTTTTTTGTGTCTCTTTTTCTCTAATTTCACGTTATATTTCCTTTCTCTTTTTCTATTAATTTTCGTTCGTGTAGTCTCTCCTTTGGAATTTGCAATTTTCCATTTTTATAAATGTTCAGTCCCTTTTCTGTAATTTTTAGGGATTTTTCCACATATTTATATTCTTACTATATGGAGAGGAGAAGTAAGAGGAGATGATGCCAAAAGTGGATTGAAAGCCTTTAACAGGAAGATGAGTGAAATTTTCATTGAAAATCCGGAAAGTCTTTCCATCATCAGATGTGCTGCTTACCTTGATCCTGCCGTTTGTTTCCCCACCTCCCCTAAAACAGATCTCAAATTAAAAATCAAGACAAACTTTTTTGTGAAATTAATTTATGTATCCGTGATTCAAAAACAAAGTAAATAATTATAAGGACGACAAAACAAAATAAATTTAAAGAAAAACAAAGTCAACGAGGAGATCAATCCATCAAAACCTTTTACATTAATTTAATCAACTTCCTCCATACGCGAAGCGTCCTCCTCTGCACCGGCAATCTTTTCGACAGGTTCCCCAGAAGTGCAGGGTTGTGGATCTTCAAGAGAGAAGCCAGAAGTCAACAAAGTCATCTTGGTCGGAGTCATCTTGGCCAAAATATCCTAACACTAAAAATAAAACAAATATTCCAAAATTCTTTAAACAAAATCTTAAATACCTTAATAACTTTGCAAAGTTTCTCAAATTTAACTTTATCTTCTTCAAACTTCTTTTCCTCTTCACTTTCTGGCAACTCCAAACCTTCTTTAGTCACGCTAACCAACTTCTTTCCATCAAATTCTTTCAATTGTTGAATGCAATATTCATCAATTGGATCAACCATATAAATAACTTCAAAACCTCGCTTCTTAACACGTTCAACAAAAGCTGAGTTTTGAACAACTTCTTTAGACTCGCCAGTAATATAATAAATGCAAGTCTGATTCTCCTTCATTCGTCCAACATAATCCTTCAAGCTAACAAGTTCATCGCCAGAAGAGGAAGTGTTGTAACGGAGATATTCGGCAAGCTTTTTACGGTTGACAGAATCTTCGTGAATACCCAACTAAAGAACAAATAATTTTCAAAAAAACATTTAAAAAACCTTAAGATTCTTGCTGAATTGTTCATAAAATTTCTTAAAGTTGTCCTTGTCTTCAGCAATTTCATCAAAAAGTTCGATACACTTCTTGACCAAATTCTTTCGGATCACTTTAAGAATTTTGGATTGTTGGAGCATTTCACGAGAAATGTTAAGAGGAAAGTCCAATGGAGAGAATTCCAATGGAGAGACAACGACATAGAAAATTAATAGAAAAAGAGAAAGGAAATATAATGTGAAATTAGAGAAAAAGAGACACAAAAAAGTCGATTCGCAATCGTTTGGCGCAAAACATCGATATTAACGTAGTTCTGGCGTTGTGTGTTTAAAAAAAAGTCGTTCGCGAATAAAAGTAGTTATTCGCCGCGAATCGACGAAAACGTAGATATGTCGTTCACTAAGTCAAACAAGCTCAAGAACGACAAGTAGAAGTCTAATTAGTTTATCGCAAAGCGAAATAAAAAGACGAAAGACAACTTATGAATTTCAAACAAGAATGAGAGGTTTTTTTTCTTTTCATTTTACAAATAGTTTCAAATTTAGATGAACAAAGACGTGCTGATCAGGGGTTACTTTCAGAAGACCGAATTGATGAAATTTATATACAAGTCAAAGAACAAGGAGAGGACTTGGGAGAGGTCTGAAATTTATTACATAAATAATTTGTGTTATAGACAATTTTGGTTTTGATTTTGTTTCTTTAATTTTAACAAATTTCGGTAATTCTTCGGTTGTCGCCCCCCATTTTTTATGCTTCCCTGACCATTTTGAGCTTTTTTGCTTTGTCATATAATAATTTATATATCATTCGAAAGAGCTATCCAAGCTGAGTTGATTGGTACTATGATCGGTTAGATTTGGCAATTTTGAACATAATTATGAAACTAAATCTTTTGTGGACATGTTTTTTGTGATGTTGAACGTGATTAAAACAATTGCTCATAACTATGTTGATTTAATTCAGATATCGACGATTCTAGTGCCGTTCGACTCAGCTCGAAGTGCTCTTTCGAATGTATATAAAAGTTCATAGAAATTTCATGGAAAATGTAAAAAAATAGAACATAAAAAAAGGGGGGGCGACAACCGAAGAATTACCCAAATTTCTTAATTAGGCAAGTAATTCTAGTATAATTAAATATTTTTAAGGTTGAAAGCCTCAGAACAATCAAAGCTGATGCTCAAGTACTTCAACAACTTATTCAATTATCAACAACTGAACTTGATAAATTGCGCGGCGAGACTGCAAAAACAATGGATCCTGATATTTTCATCACTCGTATTGTAAGTCTAAAATTGAAACGAATCTAAATTCTTAACTTGTTTTAAGGAAAAATTCGCGTTGAACCGATTTCCTCAACGTTATCAAACTGAGCATTCATTTATCAGCCTCGGAAGACGTTCAACCAGCTTACTACGTGAAATACCAGATTTTTATTTTCTGTGAGCTTAAAATTTATTTTCGGCGAAAACTTTAATATTAATCTCATTTACAATATTTAAGGCGTCCTTGTATTGAAACAAAAAATTCACCTCAACTTCCTGGAAAGCGCGAGATTAAGAAAGTGCCCTATACTCGACCTGTTAAACGAGAAATAAAGTCTAAAACGGTTTTTATATTTAAATTTTTATAATCTATATATAATTTAAGTTACATCAACTTCAAAAGGAGACAGCGGCCACAGAGTTTTCTGTTTCCAAAGAGTTGGATAATGTTGGTCGACAACTTCGTGCCTTTTACAAATCAGAACGTTCAGATGAAATGGATTACTACAAATTTGTTTTAAATCCTAAAAGCTTTGGCGAAACTATAGAAAACATGTTTTATATGTCTTTTCTAGTCAAGGATGGACGAATTGGCCTGAAAATGGATAAAACAACTGGGTGCCCAAAAATAGGTTTGAAATTTTTTATTTATGTGTAGATTAGTACTACATTATTTTTAATTCAGTGAAAGCTTCTCATGCTGGTCGCGCAGCAACCATGCAACGTAGCCAATTGGAAACGGTTCAAGTTATAAGTAATTTTGATTATTCTACATGGAGATCTCTTGTCAAGAAATTACAAATAAAAGTAAGAATATTTTTAACTTTCTATTTAAAAAAACTTTTTTAGGAAGCCTACATTAAACGAATAACTAGCAATAATGACTAGAACCTCAATATTATTCCAACACCTCATTTCGAATACGCCTATATTCAATATTTTTGATGCTTCTCCCATAACTGACTTTCATTTTTAACTTCTTTTCCTTGATTTTTTCGATTTTTGATTCAATTTTATTCTACGCAATTACAATATTTTTGCTAAATTTTTTGATCTCCTGAAATAAAATTTGCAATTTATTAAATTTTTTTATTTTATTGATTGTTTTAATTGTTTAACAAAATTATTTTAATAATTTTTATTAAATTTGCTTCTAACTTTAGTCGTTATCTAAAAAGTTTTCAGCAAATGCCAAAGAAGTTTCAAGGTGAGAATACGAAGGCTGCAGCTTCGAAAGCTAGGAAAGCTGATGCAAAAGCAGCGGAAAAAGAACGACAAGATAGAGAAAGGGAGGATGCTTTGTGGGCGGATGATAATAAACACGTTCAGCGGAAAATGCAGAGAAAGGTTACTTCTATTTTAAATTAAGACTTCGAACGATAGGTGGTAATGAGTTTGAAGCTAGAGAACGTCAAAGTACAAAATGCGACACGCCCAAAATAACGCACGGCCATAACTGCAAAATTTCCAAATCTTAACAATTTAGTATTAAGCGATTCCTCTCGAGCTAAAGAGATTGGTACCAAAATTGAAAAAAAAAACCAGAAATCTGCCGGTAAGTTATGGCTTTGCGTTATTTCGGGTTTTGCCCGTACAAAATATTTAATTTCTTGTTGGAGAGTTTTATTCTTACCCATATCAAAAATATATTTAATTTTTCAGAATGATCAAGAACAAAAGCGTCAACAACAATTGGATAGAAAAGTAGAAAATCAAAAGGCCTATGAACAAGAAATGACAAAGTTGGCAGAAGTTTCGAAGTCTAACACAGCTAAATTCTCTACACCTGCCAAAATAACCCAAGCACAAATTGAAAGGGAAAAGGAGCGAGAGGTTTTTTAAGATTAGAGATATTTCTTTATAAATCTTTTTAATTTATTAGGAATTGGAAAGAAAGGAAATGGAACAAAAACGTTTATTAGAACAACAAAAAATTGTTTCTGAACAGCCAGAATTAGTAGAGAACGTTAATCGACTTCAAATTGAGGGGGATTCTGCAACAAATGTCGACGAAGCAATCCGAGTCTTAAGGGGATCGGTTGATGGTGCTTCATCTTCGATTTCTCAGGTTTAAATTCTTTTTAAAATTCTAGCTTATATTCTAAAATTATTTTAATTTTTTTAGGATCAACATCCAGAAAAACGTCTAAAAGCTGCTTATGCTACTTTTGAAGAGAATCGCCTTCCAAGACTTAAAGAAGAACATCCAACTCTCCGTTTATCCCAGCTTAAGCAATTACTAAAGAAAGAATGGCAAAAATCAGCAGACAACCCTTTGAATCAAAAAATTATGAATATAATTAAATGAAGGGATTTATATAGAAAAAATATATTTGTAAGTTAAATTATTTATTATGCTTATTTATTCTAATAATAAATAGCGCTAGAGATCGAATTCTGTTTCTTTACAAATTGAGAATTTTTAAACTTTTTGTTTCAACAATTATTTTTCGACTTTGGGTAATTGATAGATAAAAGTATATTTTTTTGTTAGTTTAAAAATAGGTCTAAATGAAAATTAAAAAATAAAAATTTACAAAATTTATTTATAGACAGGGGGAGAAAAAATAAATAATTTCTCTCTTGAAGAAAAAAATTTTTAAATTAATTTCTAGACAAATTTATGTATTTTTTTGATAATTTTAGAATAAATTATTTAACAATAATTCAAACAATTTTGTTACTTCCAATTCCTTATTTATTTTCAAATAAAATTCATGTAAAGAAATCCTCAATAATTCCGCCTTTTTGAGCTTTTTGTCTTTATTTAAAATAATGCTGTAAAGAAAATAAGGGAAAATGAACAATAAAAAAAAGAAGATTTGTGAGAGTAAAAAAAGTCTACCAAATTTCTTTTAAAAAAATTCCTTAAAATGCGCATTTATATTCCCACGATTGGGTGGCACAAATTAAACAAAGCATAAAAAGGAAATTTTAAAAGCTTTCTATAATTAAAACAAAGATTAGTTAAAAATATTTTATGTCCAAAAATTAGTCAGACGGAAAATGTTCTTTTCTGAATTTTTAAAAGTATTTATTTACTTTTTAAAAGATACATAATATTCTTAAGAATTTATATAAAACGCGGGCGAAAATTTTAAATTAAATTCGTCTAGAATTTTAATTTATCGTCCTATGTACACTTTTCTTTGAACAATAAATTTAATACCAAATTTAGAATTTCTTTTTTTGTTACTAACCAAACTATAAATAATTTAAAAAACTAAGACAATTGTTTTTATATGTCTAGTCTTTTTATTGCAAAAGCTTGAATGATTTTGCTCTTTTCAGACAAAATAATAAAGAAAATTTCGAATTGTGTATAAAAAATAAATTTTAAACCAAAAATCAACTAAAAAATAAAGGAAAGATATTTTAATTTAAAATAATTTTTCAAATTTTATAATTTTCTTCCTTAAAATTTTTTTTCTAAATTTTTAAATTTTTTTAAATTTCATATTATACCTTGCATATTTTCTTGGATAATTCTCCCTTAAATCATTTTTAATAGGTAGTGTGTAAAATAAATTATAAATAAAATACTCTTTCCAATTGAAATTTGAAAGAGAAATTTTGGAATATTTTAAAAAGATTTAAATAATTTAACTAAAAAATTTTTTAAATAATTTTTTATAGAGATCATAAGTTAGAAAATTTTAAATCTTTATTTAAAAAATCATAAATTTGAAGATTATTTTTTATAAATAAAAATGTTGCGTTGGACATCAGTTCGTCGACGTTCAAGTTATTGGGAGCCTTCCGAATTAAAACAGCGTTATGCATTTAATCAAAATTCTTCTTTATCACATGGTTAAAAATTTTTTTTTATAAAATTGACAAAATATAGGTTATTTGTTAGTAAAGTTTTTATTGTAGTTTAGTTGCTGTTAATTATTCTAATAATAGGCTGGGGTCATTACTAATAGAGTTTCACTGGAAGTTCCAGATCCGGAAAGTTCCGGCGTTTTTGGTTCCAGTAAAACACTATTAATTACCTCCATGATTCCAGATGTACACACGTTTTCTTTTAAATAATTAAATTCTTTTACTTTGTAAAAGAGAACATTCAATTTCCTGAATATACAACATATTTATTATATTAAAGGAATTCAGGAAATTGTCTGTTTTTGCATTAATATATACATTTTCCCTCTCTCAATATCCGAGTATTTTCAAGGGTTTTCTGAGGATATATCTTTAAATGAATAGGTGTATATAGTTATACCGCTTTTTTGACACATTTTTTACTCAAGCATCTCTTTCTTATAATTGGGAAAATGCAACCAAATATTGAAAAATAACTAACATAAAAAAGGTATACTAGGTAGTAGGTACTCATTTTCGAGAAAAGCCAAAAAATAGGTTTGCTTTAAACAAACAATAAATATTTATATGTATTTATTACAAAAGAAATGCCGACAGAAAAAGGTCTATAGGTTTTCTCATTGTTTTATCGCGTGAAGAATACATATTATTTTAATATTTACAAAGAAAATAATTTTTTAGAAAAGCTTTAAAATTTTGATTTTTTAATGATAATTTAACCTTAACTCAATTAGAATTAGAACTATATTTAATGAGATTTAGTGTGGTGAACAGCAGATGTGGGTCGGAATTCCGACATCCGATGTTTTTTTCCCTCCGATTTCCGAAAAAAATTTTTATTTCCGAGTTTCAACTTTTATGCCAGTTCCGATTTCCGACACCTCGGACTGTTCCAACCCACCTATGGTGGACAGGCAATTAAACTCTTTTTTTCTCTATCCTAGATTTAATCCCTCTTTTATCTTTACAATTTAGGATGATTGCCATATTCTAAATATATAGTATCACTACTACAAAATCCCAAACATTCTTAACACAATTCCTAAATATCTTTCGTGATTGGATAATAAAATAAATAATCTGTGATTATTCCTTATTCATTCATCTAAACTTTTATAGACTTCCGTCCAGCCTCAGCTCGATCTTCTTTTGGACAAGTAGCTAATACACCAACAAAACGACAATTTAGACGTGCTATGACCATGAATGCTGATAGAAGAAAAACAGAAAATGAAGACGAAATTGACAATTTAGAAGCCCCTCCAGATGACCCACATCAACCATTAAATTCTTTTAAATTATTTAATAAAAAAGAAAAACAACGAAGATATAGTTTATGGACAGAAAGATATTCTTTAGATTATTTAAAACAAAAGAAAATTAAAACAAAAATGGTTATTTTATCAAGAGAAGAGAATGAAGAAGAAGAGGAAAAGGAAGAGGAAGAAGAAAATGAAGATAATAATGTAAAAGAAGAGAATTTGCGTAAAAGAATGCAACAAAGAAGGAGAAGATTGGGTTAATAGTTAATTAATTAAATACATAAGTGATAGTAGGGGTTTTCGTTTTCAACAGATTCTCCTGTTAACTGAACCGACAAACCGAACCGAAAAATCTCCGGTTTTGGTTTGAAACAGACAATCTCAATCAGGAAAAATTAATTACACCCAATGACAAACCAAAGCTAAAAAAGTTCTTAAACTTAGGGAATACCTAGCATTATAGACCGGATAAATCTTTATTATTCATTATTGGTTGTACGAAAAATATGAGGTCCGACTTTATAAATATTTTTTTAATTTCCTAAATTGTGTAAAATCAAAAAAAATTTTTAATGAATCATATTTAAAATATCTATTACTTATTATTTTAAAAATTCTTTAAAATGTTTAAAAATTTTCTAAAAATATTTATTATTTTGTAACACTTCAAAAATTCACACAAGTAAAAATTTTGTTAAATATTCTATTAAAGGGTATTTAACAAAAATAAGAAGTAATTATGAAATTGTTTTTCTTTAAAAAAATAAATATTTTTAATTAAAGGGTTGCAATTATTTCCAAAATCAGAAGAAAGAATGGAAGAAATAAGGGCAGTAACAATGTATGATGGGGCTTATTGTAATGTTGGATCTCCTTTGCTTTCGATTGATGCCGAGACTGAGACTGAAGCAGAGGAAGAACAACAAAGATGTAGAGACACTTCTGTACAGGCAGAATGTACAATAGATTTACCATATTTCCGAAAATAAAACCCCACCTTGAAATAGAGCCCCATTTTGGAGGATAGTTGAAAAATAGAGCCCCGTGGGGTTCCATTTTCGGAAATACGTATTTCGAAAATAAATTCTCTCAAAATTTTCCTTCTTTTAAGTATTACCTCGTCTCCCAAAATCCCGTTCTAAATATTGCATAATTCGTCCAACTTCTGGAAACGAAGTATTAATTAATAATAAAGAGGATGATGAAGAGTCGATGATAATAAAACAAAATAATTTATTAACTGTTGGCATATCAACACCTCCAACATTAAATATGGGGGAAGGAGGACGTCGTCCAAGTATGTTACAAACAGCTGCAGCTATAATGAGAAGGCGTTCTTCTTTTGTGAGAGAAAGATGGGCTAATAAATTGGAATTTTTGTTAGCTGTTATTGGTTGGTAAAGTATAATTAGGCTGAAAAATAAATAATGAGCCCCTTCCCCCTTGTGTACGACGGATTAAATAATTACTAAAATTGAACAAAGTGTTACAAGAATTTAAAATTTATTTTTTATGATTCTAATAGAGTTGGGTTAAAAAAGAGAATATTATTTATTGAGATAATAATAATTCTAAAAAATATTTTCAATATTTATTTAGGCTATGCTGTCGATCTAGGCAATATCTGGCGATTTCCTTCAGTTTGTTACAAACATGGAGGAGGTATATTTATTTGATATTATTTTGAATAAAATAATTAAAAAATTTTTAGGGGCTTTTTTAATTCCTTATATTGTTATGGTAATATTTTTATAATAAATTTTATTAAATAAATTAAATAAATTAGTTATTAATTGGGGGACTTCCAATGTTTTATATGGAATTAGTACTTGGACAGGTATTTTGTTTTCAATTAAAAATATACTTTCTACATCTGTTTTAAAGTTTCATCGCTCCGGTTGTTTGTCAATTTGGAGGAAAATTTGTCCAATGTTTAAGGGTTAATTTAAAATTGGAGCTAAAAAACTTTTTATTCTCAATATTTTTTAAGGTATTGGCTATGGTATTTGCTTCATTTGCACATTTATTGCTTGTTTTTATAATGCAATAATTGCTCATGCTGTTTATTTTTTTATCAGCTCTGTCGGGGTGATTTTATATAAAAATAGTTAGAAAATTATTATTGAGATAAATAAATTATCTTTCTAAATATTTAAAAATAAATAGAGATTTATTTTTGTGAGAGGGGAGTAATTGTTACTTAAAACGGGGCAGGGATTTAAAACTGGGCAGGAACCTGCAATCTCCTGACAGTTAATAATTAGATACTTAACTTACTACATACGTTTAGATGACTTACCTTCTCCAGCCTCCTAAGCTTTTTAAATCCTAGCCAGTTGGACATTCCAGCTAGCTTATTCCTCTTTTCACATATTCTAATATATTTCTGGAGATACTTTAATGTTAAATTTCTAAATTTTATTTTTTTAGTGGGAAGTTCCTTGGTTACATTGCAATAATTCCTGTTTGTATTATCATTAAAAATATTTTTATAAATTTTTAAATAAAGGGAACACTGAATGGTGTCGTGACACTCACAACTCTTTAAATACTTCAATTAAATCAGTTATAGATGGACAGGAGTGGCGAACACCTTCACAAGAATTTTATATGTAAACTATTCTTTTACTAGTTTAAAGAATAATTTTATTTTTTTTAGATATTCAGTTCTAGAAAGTGATAAATCAACAGGTTTAGATAATCTTGGGGGTATTAAACCTTCAATGGCTTTTTGCCTATTTCTTGTCTTTTTAATCGTTTATTTTGCATTATGGAAAGGTCCTCAAAGTACAGGGAAAATTGTTTGGATTACAGCAACTGCCCCATATATTGTTTTATCTATTTTGCTTATTAGAGGACTTGTAAATAGAATTTAAATTTAAATAAAAAAATTTTTAAATTTAAAGACGCTCCCTGGAGCTTCCAAAGGAATTTATTATTATTTAACGCCTGATTTTGATAAATTAAAAGAGCCTGAAGTTTGGACTGCTGCTGCTACACAAATATTTTTTTCCTTAGGACCGGGGTTTGGAGTGCTTCTTGCTTTGAGTAGTTACAATGATTTTAATAATAATTGCTATAGGTAGTAATAATAATTGCTATTTGTGATTAGAATTCTGCCCTCACTTATACACCGTTGGGGCTGAAAAAACTTTATCTTATAATGGGTGGGTATTGAAAAGGGATACTCGGACATTACTAAAAAAGGAGCTTATTTAAATGGGCTATTGTTTATGCTGCCTATCAGAGAGCGAGCCGACAAAAAACAGAATTCCCGATTTTCGTGAATCGTGACGGCTCGTTCCCTGCTGCCTATGTTGAACAGCTTACCCGCCTATTGGACAATCAGATTAAAAAAATAACTTAAATTGCGTGTGTATCCAGTAGTGGGTGTATCAGGTGTATCTGATAGTGATGCCCTCCATTTTAATAATTTAAAAAAATAATTTTAAAAAAGAGATGCATTAGTAACTTCATTAATTAATTGTTTTACTTCTTTCTTCTCTGGTTTTGTTATATTTTCAACACTTGGCTATATGAGTGAATTAACTAATAAACCTGTTAGTGAAGTTGTTGGGGAAGTATGTCTCTTTAATTAAAAAAAAATAAATTTAAAAACAATTTAAAGGACGAATCCTCCCTTATTTTTGTTGTATATCCCCAAGCAATTGCTGAAATGGATTATTCTCCTATTTGGTCACTTATTTTCTTTTTTATGTTAATAACTTTAGGCATTGACAGCACAGTTAATTAATTTGAACTTTTTGTTTGAAAATTTTATATTTTTTAGTTTAGCGGTGTTGAGGCATTTATTACTGGATTTTGTGACGAATATCCGAGAATTTTGGCAAGAAAAAGGGAAATATTTGTAGCATTAGTTTTAGGGATGTTTTATATTGGGTCTTTGCCAGCAGTTACTTATGTTCGTTTTTAAATAGATCTTTTAATTATTAAGAATATTAAATAGTAGGTAATTCTCGTTTAGTTTAATAGAGTTTCACTAAAATACATAATTTTAATTAATTTTTCTTTTTTCCTATTTAATTTATAGGTATTTGTAGTCAACCTCATTTTAGAAATATTTAATACTAGCTACACTTGGGGTTGACGTATTCTGGAAAATCCCTTAATATATGGATCCAATATCGAAACAAAAAATTTTCGGAAATCCTGCCCTTTTCAGATCTTGATATCCGTGTCTGATAATCCTAGGTACAACTTCAAGAAGGAAAGAAGTACCTAAACGTGCATAAGTTTCCTGACTCTCTCACACTCCCACTTCTAATAAAAAATCTTAAATTTTATTTTTTTCACTAAATAGGGTGGTCGTTATGTTATTCCCTTTTTGGATGATTATGGAGTTTCTCTTTCCGTTCTTTTTATTGTAATGTGTGAAATGATTGCTGTTTGTTGGTTTTATGGAATTAAAAGATTTAGCGAAGTTTTTTCCTTTTAAAATTATTTTTAATTATTTAAAAAAAGGATATTCATGTTATGCTTGGGTTTTACCCTGGTATTTATTGGCGTATTTGTTGGACTTGTTGTCCTGTTTTTATTGGATTTATTTTTTTAATTTCTTTATATTCTGCCTCATTTATGCCAAAACAATTAAATAATTATACTTATCCTTGGTAATTAAAAAAATTTTTTTATACCCCAATAAATTCATAAAAAGGTGGTCAGTGTCATTAGGTTGGCTATTTAGAATGCTCTCTTGTCTGTCAATTCCTGCTTATATTATTTATATGTTTATTACAACGCCTGGTCCTTTAATTAAAGTTGCTTATTTTTAATTTTAGGTGGTAAAATATTTTTTCAGAGAATTAGAATAATGTTAACAGCACAACAAAGAGGTTCTATAGTTTCGAGTGCCCCATCAACAATGAATATTGGGGGAATAAATAATAATTTAACGAATTTAGTATTTATAACAAATAAAGAACAACAACAAAATAATAATTTGACATTATTACGCTTTTCTGATAATATTCCATCAACAATATATTCAAGTAAAGATTCACTAGCTGACGATACTGATTCTATTGCACATTTATAAATAAAATTAGTTTTAGATAATAAATATAGATCTCATTTTTGTTAGTTATGTTCTAGTTTTAAAGTTTAGTTATTGATGATAAATTTTAGTTTTAAACTTTAAACTCACGTATCTCTAATTATTACTGCTTTGTATTTACTCTTTCTTTAATAAAAAAAGGAACAATCTTCAGAAAATTAGAAAAATTAAAATATTAAAATCTTAA